GCAATTGATAAGAACCATGTTCAAGAATGATTATTGTTATCCCCATCTTACAGAGAAATGAGGTGAATTAAATCATCTGTCTAATTGACACAGTGTTAGATTCTAGATCTATGCTATACCAACTAGGTCATACTTAGAAATATGCAATTTTAAAAGATCCTGTATTTTCCTACTGGAGGGAGAGTTACTACCTCAGACCATAAAACAGCTAATACTCTCTTCTAACTACTCATTGCTTCTGTTTAAAGGACTGCTGGCAAGTGGCAGGATGAAAGAATCGGAGTCAAGGAAGCCAGCACGCTCTGTGGGAGCAGAAGGAATTAAAGTACATCAGGAAGAATTCAAACATAAACAACCTACTCATGGCAATGCCTCCCAAGTGTCTTCTTCACATCGGAGTCCAAAAGCTGAGTCTCTTTTTAGAGAATATATATTCAAAACCAAGTAAAATTCTTGTCCAAATTATTAAGTAGCAGAATATGACCAACGTGACAAGCTTTCAGTTTGTTGTGAGGCTTCTGGGGAGTGAAGCTAATTAACAAAGCACAATTTTCCTCAGCTCATTAAATAACGTTGCTCATAGTTCAGTGCATAATTCAAGTCAGCTTTCTGCAGTTCTTTCTGTAAGTGGTTGATGACATCACCAGGACATTCCTGCTGTGTTGGTGGTCTTGAAGACCTGATCCAACCACATGTATCAAGCTAATAGAGATTTGTATTCTTTAATTAAAGACTGATCTCAAGAGCCGTTTCTATAACCAACAAGGCAGTGACACCTGTAAGAAATTGGCTTTTTTTTTTTTCCAAATAACTTCTCCTTTGGCAAGGAAGTTATTCTTCCTCAGCCAAGGAAGAATAAAACTGATATGTCATTACTAACCACGCTAACACACCACTGTTTTTTTTCATGTGTATTTTTTAAAGGTTGCTATTGCATCACTCAAACTATGAGTACCTGCTTCGCTTTAGAACTCATCTGAAAAAAGTAACATCATGTCCCAAATACTTAACATCCAATTTAATAATAACTAAACATGAAATTAATGGTCAACCAAAACTCAACAGCTGATCCTGATTTATCATCCTCAAAGCCTTCTCACAATACCCTGCTTCTGCAGTTGTGATAGCAAATCTAAATCCTACTAACTTGTTATTTGCAAAAGAAAAGCAAATGAATCTCCACTGCAGAGAATGTGTGGTAATGGCAAATACTAAACTCATCACTCTTTATGGGATTTTTTAATCAGCAAGTAAACTTACTTGTGGAGCACTAAAACATACTTTGTTACAAAACATGCTTCCTTAAACAAGGAAAGGATATTAAGTCATGTAAGGCATAAATTATTTAACTTACGGTAAGGAGATAAGAAAGGGGAAAAAAAAAAAAAAGGAGGAACAAGTTATTCTAGTCTGCAAAGCTAAACCGTGTGAGGTGTGCTGAGGTAATGACTGTACCTGAGGAATGAGATCATACAGGCTTTTATCTGTTCAAGCTTCAATTAAAGCTAGACTGACCAGGAGTAGAAACAAATGTACCTTAACATTTTGAGGAGTAATGAAACTACATCAGTTTGGGAGCTAATAAAAACCAAAGCTTCTAGAAGTTCATTATGGCTCATTCATCAATGCTCTATCTCAAGACATACTGAGGAAATGAAACTGTTAAGCATCTCCCAAATCCATGTTTCTAGTTGGCCCAGCTGACATGCTTGTATTCTGTATCTGCTTTCGTATTTCACTGCATGTCATTACCCCTTCAACATTATCCATGGAGAAGGTAAAGTACTTCTATTCTTCTGTGCTTGTACATTCCCTTATCCAAAGGTGATTGGATTGAGAACATAGACCTTCAAATGTTGATCTTGTAGAGGTTTAAGAAGCAATAACCATAAAACCTTGCAGCAACCATTAACTGCATTAAAACTAGTAGGTTTATCTTCGAAATGCAGGAGGAGAGCCCTGAAAACCCACCTGTCCACATTCATCACAGAAAGCATAAATGTGCCTTGGTAGTGACTATTAGCTGCCAGCTCATTCTGCATAAAGACTTCTTGCAAAGTATCTGTTATTAATGACATTAAATACTTTTAGATGGGGGGAGCCTGATTTTCAAGGACAAGTATTTGAATAGCCAGCCAGATTTCATATGTGAAGAAGTAAGCTTAAATTCCTGAATGTGCAATATATATATATATATCTTTGCATTGGTAGTCACAAAATTGAGGAATTTCTCATCACCTCAAGCCTCTTACATTTTTCTAGTGAAACTGGGTACAAGAGAAACCTGCTGTTGATCACTAAATAGTAGCCGAGGGGAAGAATTTATTCAAGTGTGCTTTGCAGTTACTGTTTAAAGAGCACCTGTTTACACAGATTGTTCCTTCCTCAAATAGGAGCTAAAGGCTTACTTATTAGCATCTCAACCTGGTAGGTAGAGCTGGCTGTAAAAGAAAAAATATGTGGTACTCCTTACAAGCAGCAGAACAGGTTTAAGTTTGCTACTTTGTAGTCTAATCAGTTCAGTGTATTTACAGCAATAGTTTGCTTTGCAGGTACTTCAAATAGCATTTTGTTCTTGAGATGGCACATAACCCAGTGAGATAACTGCATCTGTGCCATTATCATGTTGATAGTTTGAAATAATGATTTCTGGATATTTTGATATTTCTATTGGAATACTGCATGAGTGAGGTATGTATAGAAACATAAAATTTTTCTAGTAAATATTAAGTTTTTATGGAGATTATTGTGATGATAAAATCAAGTTTAAAAAAGCACAATATTTATTTTTCTGTATTGTATAGTTAAAATTCTGGCCACATAGATTGAGAAGTATATTCTAGAACTATGCAACAAGCTCACAGATATCAGCAGCCACAACTTAATGTACTACATCTTAGGATTTCACTGATCATCCCAAATTTATACCTTCTAAAGAAGCTGGATAACTTTAAAAATGTTTGGCCCTGGTCTAACTTCTACAAGGGAAAAAGAAACCTAGGTAAGTGAAGTATGTAGCTAATTATTTACTTAAATTAAATATATATATGTATATGAGAGCTAACTGAGTTCAGCTGCTAGCTTGTTTTTCAAATACCACTACTATTGTTTGCATCCCAAATGTTTGATTTCTATTAATTTATTTGTACTCTGTCTGTTTTACCATCTTCTCTTCTGGTCTTTGCAGATTTATCTTATTTCATACACATTTCAGAATGCTGCATTTTGATCATATGATTCTTCTTGTAGCATCCTGCTATTGGCTCTTTCATAGACTAACTCACCATAGCTACTACCCAGACCTTTCTCTTTTATCCTTGGTCCTCTAGGCTGGTATCCTACCAAAGCTATTACATTTCTTTGTTTGAACAACCACCTTTGAGAAACATTCATGTTACTCTTTGCACGGAGGAGTAGGCTATTCACAAAACCCACACTGTTGTCTTTCAAATCCCTCCTTAAAGTTTTTCTTCATTATGATGCCTGCACAAAATTTTACAATTGGTCAACTGGGTAAGCTACCAACTGTTAGATCAACTGTACCAACTAATATTATTGTATTTTTGCTGCCTACCACAGCTCTTCCTGTATGTATTAATCACTCACACTCTGAGGCAAAGCATTTTCCATGCATAAAAACTAAGGGTTTCAAATAAGGAGAGTACAAAACACACAGTATGAAATATAGTAATGGTACAGCCACTGCTACAATAACAAAACAAGTAACTTGGTAGTTTGAACTATACCTTGCTTCATAGAGCGTTGTATCACAAGATGCATTTTGTAGCGTTGGTCCACACGCTGAATATCTAAAGCTGCTTTTAAATCTGAAAAGAAACTTGCTTGTTCTTCATTTCGATGACTGTTAATGGACATTCCTCCAGGCTACATGTAGTTGTTTATCAATTAGACTCAATTTATATTATCCACTTTTGTTTCACCTGCTGGAAACGTTACTTAACACTAGGTTCATCTCCTTGATGGCTGAACTAGGTAATTGTTGTGGTCTTTTCCAACCTTAACAATCCAATGATTCCTTGCTAGGAACCATTGAAGAGGTCTTAAAGCTACTGATGCATTTGTGCTGCCTGACTTCTGTTGTCCCAAGGATGGGAACTCCCTCATGACGAGCAAGGAATTCTTATCCCTTTGGGCTTTGCAGATGAATGTGTTTGAATGTAGCAGTAGAGAAGGATGTAGTGAGGAGTCCCACAGCAAACTGGTGGAAAAATCTATTAGAAAATGAACAACAAAATGACTCAGCACAAGCAGCACCAGATTGAGAAAATGGTGGAAGAGTTGTGGCAGGGGCAGAGCTGCTGTTGGGGGTGGACTTGGGGCCTGTTGTGATGGGAGGAACAAGGAAAAAGACATAGGGCCAACATTCTCCATTTCCAGTAAACTGGGTCAGTCAATAATTCATTTTCCTTGGGTACTTCCATCACGTTTGGTCATTTCCTCCCATATAATTAAGTCCTGCAGTGAAAGACAAGCAGTGTGTCTTGCTGGGTCATCTTGCATGAGCTGCTCTGCTTGCTCTTTAGCATTTTCTCAGTTTAACTGCTTGGTTTTATGACCTTGGCCACAGCCTCTAATGAGAGCACGTAGGTCTGCCATGACAGGAATGAGGGACCTGAAGTGGCAGAAGCCATTTGCCTCTAGATACCTGACATAAACCACCTCAAAATCTTTCCAAACCCTCAAGGAACCTCTAGAGCACGTTATTTCCCCAAACGCGCATCTTCTTGTCGCACAGGAGCCAGCTCTTTCTCGCTCCCCCTGCCCCCAAGCTGACAGACAAGATGGTGGCCACAGTCGCCTCAGCATGGCCGACCTCCGTGCGCATGCGCAGAGGCGGCCCCCGAGCAGGTGGCGGGCCCCGTGCCGAGTGCGCCTGCGCAGAAGGCAGTCCGCAGCGCCCCCGCAGGTGCACCTTGTCGCTGCGCGCACGCGCAGAAGCGCCCTACAGGTGCCCCCTCCCCCTGTGCTATATCTGAGTACGCCGCGGATCGCACGTATAAGCGGTCGCTTCACTCCTTCTGACTCCCGCGGATCCTTCCGCCGGCGCCGCAGACGGCGCTTAGCGCTTTTGGCTCAGCCCGCCTGAGGCAGTGGTAGAAACGTCATGGCGCGTCACGGCCTCAAAAACGTTTGTTTTCCCGCTTAGCCTCATCTTCGGGCTATTTGTGAACGTGGGTGTCTCGAAGGACTCTTTCACTCGACGCTCGGCGGAAGGATATTTCTTTATTTAACCGCCACAAGCTGAACGAACGTTTCGAGGCGGGGCCAACGGCGCGGACGCCGCCTCTCCGGACCAATCACAGTGGGAGGCTTGCCGTTAGCGCCGACCCCCGGAGCGGAAGAGCCAATGGGCGCGAGAGAGGGAGCGGCGGGGGCCGGCTGAGGGGTGCGTGCGCCAGCGCGGGGCGGCGGAGCGGCGCTGGGCGCAGCGGCTGTTGCCGGGGGCGGAGGGGAAGCGGCGCGTTCTCGGGACCCGGGCGCCGTGTGGAGGCGGTGGGGGGCCGGGCTGAGGGCGGGGGGCAGCAGGTGAGAGGGGGAGGGTAAAGCTGGAAGAGGAGGAGGAGGGGAAGGAGGAGGTCGGCGTCGTTTCTGTGCGTGCTGGGGAAGGAGGGGGGTGTCGGGGAGAGGCACCCGGAAGGCGCTCGGCCTGGCCGCCTCCTTCAGCTGCCGCCCCGCTCCGGCTGCTGGGAACAAAGGGGCGGCGGGGCTGGGCCGGGCCGCCGGCGTTCCTCCCCTCCTCCCGCCGAAGCACTGATTAACGGCTCCGCGGGCACGGCGGCGTTCTGAGCGGCGCCGAGGGCTCCGCGCGGAGAAGGCGGGCGGGCGGCGAACCCCGCGCAGGGCCTGAAGGCCGCCCTTCTTCTGCCGGCCGCCCCGAGGGAGGCCTCCCGATGAGCTAAAATGGTGCTGAGGCTCGAGGGGAGCTGGTCGCTGCTGGTCGGGAAGCGTTTCCTCAGCCTGGCCGGGGAGGACGACGGGCCCTGGGACACGGAGCGCGTGGCGGAATGGCCGTGGCAGGCGGGCAGGATCCGGGCGGTCTCGCACACCGACATCTCCAAACCGGACCTGAAGGTAACGGGGCACCGCGAGGGGCCGGGGGTGGAGGCGCGGGCGCGCGTGTAGCGCTGTGCCTCCTACCTACGTCTATAGACTGCGTGTTCTTGTCAGCCCTTCGTGATGAGCTGACCCGCTTGGCGACATGTGCAGCGCTGGCTGAAGCCCCGCCGCGCTCTGCTGTTGCCGGAAGTTTCCGCGCTGCTCGCCTCCACCGGCGCGGTGACAACTTCTGCACCGCGCCTGCTTTGCTCGCCCTTTATTTCTGTCCGTTTCCCAGCCGTGATTTAAGACCTCGTCAGCTGTAAACGATTTGATTTCCCTCGGTGCTGGAGTTACCCAAACGCTTTTTCCACCCCTCCCCCCCTCTCCTTTTTTTTTTCTGATGGGTTTCTTCAAACGGAGGTATGAAATCCACGCGTGGCCCTGGAGGCTCCTCGTGCTCTTCTTGCTCCTTGTTAATGGTTGCTGGTGACATTTTTGTGTACGCCATCAGTTATTGCAGGCTTCGTGTAACTCATTAACTGGATGTTCGGGGTGGAAACCAGGAGACTTTGACAACTTGAAGCTCTCAAGAGGCTCTTTGTCAACTGTAGCCAGGAAAACTATCCAACCGTGTCTGAGCCATTGCTGTAGGATACAAACTACTTGCTAGGGACCAGATTCCCTTACAATGAGAGAATCTTGTGTTACTCTTGTTTCTGCAAGGAACTTAGGCAGGAAACACTTGCACTTTTCCAGACAAGAGGGCAACCTTTGTGTTTCTAACTCTTGAACGCCTCAACTTTGGGATGTACTATGGAAGCCCTGGGTTGTTGGTGGCTGAGTTTCTGTCACATGTCTGCAGCGGGGCTTTCCCCATGGATGGCTGTCCCCAGATTAGGGTGAGGAGGAGGAATTGCTGCAGAAAGCTCTTAAGGACCTTCTCTGGGACTTGGAGGAGGGGCAGTTGCTGCTGGGGTCGTTAATGCTTTACTGTGTGCCATGGAGTTGGTGGAGGTTTTGCTAGCAGTGATTAACTTTGTGTGTTCTTCAGTAAAAGTGTTAAAGAAGCTGTGAAGTAGCTGATGGAGCCACGAAGAACTTTTGGTACCAAAAATACGTGCTACTGCCTTTCTTCTATTGCAGCCCTGTGGTAGAGGACTGTATGGGAAGACCCAAAGTAGTGATGGATTGAATAAAAGTATCTAAAGGAGTAGAAGTAGATAATATTTCAAATCTTGCTTCTCACGTAGCATTAGGAAGCATTAGCTACAGAAATGGAGGATGGTTAATTACTTCTACCAACAATTTCTCAGCTGTATTTTCCTGTTTGTGCGGTATTCATTCTGCACACAAAACAAGCCATTCTGGTTCTGGGAGTTGTGCTGTTTGCTTATCTCTTTCACTGTTTCTGTGAACTTGAAAATGAGTAAATTCATTTCTGTGCCCATTAGTCTTACAACTCCTGGGTGTGATAATGTCATTTGGTGTGCATGCTTCTACTTGCTTAGCTTCCCAGCAAGGGAAGAGGCAAAAGGGGAAGTCTCCAGGAGTTACACAGTTATACTTTAGGAGTATCACAGAATGGCCTGAGTTGAAAAGGACCACAATGCTCATCTGGTTCCAACCCCTTGCTATGTGCAGGGTCGCCAACCAGCAGACCAGGCTGCCCAGAGCCACATCCAGCCTGGCCTTCAATGCCTCCAGGGATGGGGCATCCACAGCCTCCTTGGGCAACCTGTTCCAGTGCCTCACCACCCTCTGTGTGGAAAAACTTCCTCCTAATATCTAAGCTAAACCTCCTCTGTCTCAGTTTAAAACCATTCCCCCTTGTCCTATCACTATCCACCCTTGTAAACAGCCTTTCCTCCTCCTGTTTATATGCTCCCTTCAAGTTAACCACTTAAATGATGTATTGAAGATAGTGATGCTTGATGGAAACAGGGACATGTACTTCTGAAGATACTGTTCTCTAAGTGGGGGTTTATCTGTGTGGTTTCTCCTCAATCTTTTGGTTGTTTCCACATGTTCTTATGAAAGGACAGTGATGCCACTCTTGAAATTGATAAGACTCTCCATGTTTTTGCCATCTAGTGACAACTGCTTTCCTCTTGAGCACTTTGTATCTATGCTTCAGAGATTTGTAGGGGTAAACACCAATTAAAAGCAGGCAGGAAATGACCTTCTTCACACTGTTATTTGATGTCCTTCAGTGGCATGCTGTTACTTGTCCTCTCAATAAAATTGTTGAAGTTATTATTTGGGATTTGCTCGTAAAACATTTCTGGAAAAACAGGTTGTCTGTTGTAGTTTGTGGAAAAGACTGTAGGATGCAGTCCTTGTTTGTTCGCTTTTTTTCCCCCTGGCTTAAACACTGGTGACAGAGCTAACACAGTTACCTGAACTTGATCAGCAGATGACTGTTTGAGATGAGAAGGTTGTAGAGTTAATAGGAATATTAATGCTTTATGTGACACTAATGATGACAAACCAGTTAACTACACTTATAAAATACTAAGCCAGTCTAGGATGCTTCATTGTACGACAGAAAGGCAACGCTTGTGCTTTCATTTAAATGATTTTTTTAGAAGAAATTGTTTATCATTTTTACCTTGTGTGTGCTCAGATATTAAGGAGGTTAGTCACTCTTTTGCTTTACTCCCTTTCTGTAGATTTGTGTAGAATTTGATGATGAGTCATGGGAAAAAAGAAGATGGATAGAAGTCTACAGTCCCAAAATGAAGGTATTCCTCGTGGAGCAAAAGCTGGTATTGGCAGAAAGAAGATCTCATGGCGGTTCTATATCACCTGTCCAGTGGCCTGCAATGGCAAGTACACAACTGGCCTTACTTTGGTTCTGCTCTTCCATCTTCTCAGGATAGTTGTGCCTGTTACAAGTGTGAATTTCTCAAGTACAGTGTGACTTGTGTTGTAAAGCCTTACGTGGAACATGTGGGTGACTGAAGCTCTTAGTACAGAACTAGGCTGAGCTTGTAAGCGTTTTTAAGTTGGCTTGTTTTGTCTAGGGATACAGGAATGAATTTTTATGGTTTTACTTTCCTCCCAAACTTCTATTCTGTAGGGTGTGAATCCCTTCTCCCTCTAGCTACATATCTCATGAAATTGTGATTAAGAATAGAGAGAAAAAGGACAAAGAGCAGATTTCTAAGGATAGCCTATATTTTTCTCTTAAATCATTGCTTTACTTTGCTTCAAGTACTGTTAATTCTTGAGTGATTTCTGACCTGAGACAGAAGTAATTTGAATAACTCTTATATAATGGCTGGCTGCCACAGATCACTCGTGAGATCGGGGTTTTTGTATGCATAAAAACTAAAGCTGCACTGTCCAAGCCAGAAATCTAAGCTTCCTGCAGCTGCTGTGCATGGCTGGTTATGCAGATCAGCTGGTAGAGGTGAAAAGAATTTTTCTTGGTTAATGTATTCCACCAGTATAGTTTTACTTGACTGCTTTGGATATTGCCACTCTTAGAAGTAGTTGTGAACTAAACGAGGATGGAGATTCTGCCCAACTTCTATTATGCTAAAGTTGTAGTCCATATTTAATGCTCTTAACTTTGCCTGGTAATGAGGTATGTAGCATAATTTGTGTTGCTGTTTTAGCTGAGGTTTGTCTTAAGCAGAGCTAATCCAAGCAGACATCAGTTGGAAGTAGAGCTAAACAGAGTGGGAGAGAAAGCAGAGTAATGACTCCTTGATATTCTTTTCTTTGCCTCACAGTATTAGTATTTCTACTAATAGATTTGCTGTTAGGACATTCTGAAGACCTGCTTATTTCCATGCATCTAAACTGTTCTGACTGGATACTGACCTTTGTTTTATGCATGATGTTTCCTTTATTGATGCATTTAAAGGGTTGATTCATGCCACGTGCATGTTAGAAGCTCGCTCTAGGAGCCACGATGAATAAAGTAAAGCACAACATTGGAACTTGCCTTGGCAAAGAAGATTTTTTCCTCCCTTTCTCACTAAACAAGGAAGGAATGAAAGAATCACAAGAGGTGCAAATCACAAAAAGGGGATTTATTTCAATAAATCTTGATTGCAGCAGTTGAATCAAGTACGTGATAAAGTGTCTTACTGAGAATGGAATAGCACTATAGAACTCTTGTACTGCCCAGTTGCTCCTGGAACAACTCCTTGTCAACAACTGAGCAACTTTTTTTTTTTCCCCTCTGAAATGGTGTGTAAATGTACCTTCTGCACAGGGAGGAGTTGCTGTTGCTGCTTCTGGTGTTGTACCCACTCAGAGCTGTTAACTGAAGGCTAGACAGAGCTTAACCTTGCACACATTAGGAAAAGTTCAGAAGCTTTCCAAAGGAGGTTGTTGTTTTGTGGCTGCTTTTAAAGCCTGTAGTGTACCTGAGGACGTTGTTGTACTGGAGCAGTATGATAATTGAGGCTATTTAAGTTGTCACATATGCCTAAATTAAGACTTGAGTACACTGTCAATGTTGTGTGAGCTTTGAGAACTGAAATGTGAGCCCTGCAGCAAGCTGGCATTGATTTGCTGGTTATTCCCCCACTCTGCCATGCAGAGATGTGAGACCTAGACAGGGAAATGGATGCAAAACTAAATTTATTTGAATTAAAATGAATGAGAAATGAGACCTTGCTCTGCTTCTTAGAAAATGTTTCTCACTTTTGTAGACTTACAAATCCTTAGTGGACAAAGCCGGTTTGGGACAAATGGTTTCCATACGCTATCTTGGTGAAGAGAAATGTGTTTTTCTTTCTAAAGACCTTTTGACGCCCATTCAGGTAACTTTGTATGGCATTATAAAAATAGAATATAAATCTTTGTCTTGGTATTTAAGATATCTGAAGTTAATGTATCCTAAATGCAGACTTTAGACAGGTGAGAACTTGGAGAAGGTATCTATTGCTATAACTCTTAAATATCAGTTCTGAATGTAATGTGCATGTCCAGGACACAGGCATTTAAGGCAGCTGTGAGGCAGTGTGCTAGGGCAGTCATTCAGCTCAGGTGACAGCACTTGCATCATATTGATGATAGGGGGTTAGCATGGAATATTTCCTTTTGTCTTCTGAGTGTGGCTGCTGTAGCTGTGAAAGGAATTGCAGACATGTCTGGAATAAATCTTACTGCTTAATGGAAACACATGACTTCTAATCCTAAACAACTGTGGAGGCAGGCAGGATGTAAATGGGATGGTTGAATCATAATACCTTTATTGAGCACCCAGAGGAGAACTTGTTAGTGGAAATTAGGCAGAGACAGGTTGAAACAATTGCCCCATGTGACTGGCTGGTAAGGCATTTTGAGGAACAATATCTGCTGTTGAAAAAGGATTTAACCTGTTGTAGAAAACTGCTCTTAGGACTTATAAACAGCATGAATGAAATGAGTGATAGGTATCCCACATTGAGACTGCTGATAGTGCCATTGTTAATGTTCAACTACTTGGATCTGTTGTCAGTCAGCAAGTGGATTGTATTCTGAGAAACTAGCACAGGAATCACTTAAATGTAAGTTACAGATGTGTACATGGAAGCCTCATCTCAGTACTGCAGTGGGGAAAGCTGCTTTTCTGGCATCTTAAATAACAGTTCTTTGACTGCTGGCTCCTGAGGCTTCTGCTGCTTACAACCACCACAGCACTGCTTCAGACAGAACAATGTAATCCTTTTGTATTGGTGCTCTGAGCCATTGTTAATAACTTGCTCTCCACTTCTGCTTTAGGAGTCAATTCTAAATAGAAGAATCATGTTGTCAAAGAGTTTAGATTTAAAAAAATAAAAAAATAAAAATAATAAAAAACCCTAACATAAAAAAGAGAAATACTTAAATATGAACAATTTTGGCATAGCTGCCTCTGCTTTCATTCTTACGAAATTTTCTAATGGTGTCTTGAGAAGCACTGGGTCCTGGTGTTATCATAACACAAATTGAAACATAAAACTTGAAATAGTTGCCTTTGTTTGTTCAGGACTATTTAGAAAATATGTATTTGTTGCTTCTAAGAACTTAATCCTAAACTTTTTTTTAAAAAAAAAAAAGAGGTTTAGTTAAACTTAGTGCTTATTAGCAAGATAGTAAAACAAGACCAGGTTGTTTCCAGAGCAGTATTAGAGTGAATCTGGAGAGCTCCCTCTAGACTGGCTTATTGGTGGTAGTTCTAGGTTTAGTTGTAAGGAAGTGATGTGTGCCTTTATGAACTGAGCTGGGAACTGAAGGAACACACAGTAATGAGAAACTTGTTGGGTCTAGATGAACGGGTGGTGCCTTGTATCTAAATACTCATGACTTCTTGTTAATCAAAAGCATTATTCTCAATATTAACTTACACATTTTGCTTCTAAATAGGATGTGGAGAGTTCCAGGCTTCCTCTGAAGGATGATCAAACTGTCAATGAAGAAATTCAAGCTTTAGTTAAGAAACACCTAGATGAAACACGCTTGGTGCAAGGTATGTGTGTTCTGTGGCAGGAAGATTTGTCAGTAAATACTGAAGACAAAAGGAAAATCTTTGTGCTGATGGTATAAACTGTAGTAATCTGTTCTAGGGATGAAAGCTTTAAAAAAAGTTTAAAAAAAAACAAAAACAAAAAAAAATTGCACTTCATATTGGAGCAGTGAATGTGAAACATGGAGCATTATGGAGATTTCTCTATTGGGTATTTCCATTGTAGGAATGAGTATAGAATTCAGACATGGATAGATGACCTCACTCTTGTGAAAGAGATATCAAATGTGCACTTCCTTCTGAAATGAATTACTGGACGTTGCTTGTTATTTTCAAGTAGCTTGTTTTTTTTTCTCCTCCAAACTTCAAAAGCTTTACATAGAGACTGCTCTTTTAGTCAAGTTTAAGTTGTTGGGTTTAGTTTAGTTGGCCTCATTCTTACTGGTTCATGCAAGTGTCTTTTTAGTCATCTATTGGAAGGCATTTCTTGCATGTGTGTTTATGGCAAGGAAACTATTACAGTTTAGAGTCCTCATTTGCAATGCTTTCAAGAGGAGAAAATTCCTCATCCAGTAAATGAATTTTAATTTCCTTATCTACTGACTTCTCTCACTTGAAATTTGGAGATCTTGGCTTCAGCTGCATGTCTGAAACTCCACAAAGCTTAATTGTTCTATCCCAAGGCAGCAGATACTTGAAATGTAGTTTTATCATGGCTTTCCCCCCCAGTGATGTGGAAGTTGTCTCGAAGTTCTCAGTTTGTTTTACTTGAATTAAGTACTGTATGCTAGATTTGTGTTGGAACCTGGATAGTGTGGTGGTCTTCATGTACCTTTGTTCTGAGGCATGTTGGATATTTTCATTTGTTTATTGTTCTTTTCTCTGATTTCTAAGGTGGAAAAAATATAATTGGTTCAAAAATTAGAATTTATAGCCTGGATCCATCTACCCAGTGGTTCACAGCAGTTGTTGTAAATGGTAATCCTGCTACAAGAACTCTAGAAGTCAACTGTCAGGAGGTAAGAACCAGCTGGTGTGGGTTTACAGAGATGGATCAAGGGTGCAGTCTTTTGTTTATACAGCCATTAGTACCATTTTAATTTCTGTCCTTAATACATTGAGCCAAAATGAAGTGGAAGTCACTATAGTGCAGGGGCTTTTATTACTCCAAAGTGTTTCTGTGCTACTTCATGCTGCTGGCCCAACTTTCAAATAAGTGGCTGTCTACACAAAAGGAGACCTGGAAGTTTTATATGAAGACCAAGACAAACATGTAATCCTTTTTCCTTTGCTGTACAGGCAATGCTCTGAAGCACCAGTTTACATGCATGTTTTCAAGCAGAAGCACTATCACTGTACGTTGTTAAATTTAGCTTGACATTTCTTAGAATCCAAAAATCAAGTATTTAGGCTTCATCTGTACCACAACATCTAAAATAAACACTTTCAAACAATAACTTCCATCTCTAACTGGCTCTCTATTTTTTTGTTCCTTTTCAAGATTCCAGCTTTAAAAACTCTTGATCCAGAGTTAATTCACGTGGAAATAATATATGACAACAATGGAAAATGTGGTAAGAGCTGTTATTGTTTGTACTGCAGAGGCAAGTAGCATGCTTGTGCTAAAATAAACTAATGTTGATCACCTTCTTTTCCAGATAAATCCAAAAGAATTGGGGGCGTGAAGAGGAAATCCACAGAAAATAGTGGAAGTGTTGATGCCAAACACACAAAGTCTTCTCCTGAGGTAATGTCTTACTGCATTATGTACAGCTGTGTTACATAACACAGTCACGTAACTTCTCAGAACAGTCTTAAATAAGGATTAAGTGGAAAAGTTAAATAATAAACATAATCCCTTGGAGGATGTGTTGAGTTTATTGAAACTTGTCTAGGCACGGGTAAAATATCTTGTTTTGTGGTAATCAGAGAAGTTGTTACTAAGCCTTGAAGTTCAGGTTTTCCTTTTCTTAAACTGTTTTTTGCCCCTTCCTTGTGCTTAAGTGTTAACCTGCCTAGTCATGTATTCTGTAGTGTCATTAAACAGAGGGTGGTTCTCAAGTGCATAACTTCTATTTTTCATGTTCATTCTTTTAACTGTTTTATTCTTAAATCCAAAATCTGTGCCTACACTTGCATGCTCTGAGGATTCAAGGTACACAAGCAGCACTCTGGAAGAATGTTGCTTTGGTACCAAGAGGGAATGTGGCCACTCTTCTAGTACTTGCATGTCTGCATTTATTTCTCTTGTGAGTGATCTGGGAGTTTAAAAAAAAAAAAAACCTCTCTGAGGCCAAAAGAAGATCTGGGTAACTTAAGTATAGAAATGTAAATGAAAAAAACAATAGCTTGACCACAGAACTTCTAACGTAACCTGTAATTTTGTCTGAGTGTTTCAGACCAAAATTGTATTTTAGACATGACTATGGAAGAGTTTTATGGAACCTCTCGAGTGGTGATGGTAGGGGGTGGCATTTTTTTTTTTTGGTTGCTTGTAAATTTTGATTCTTAGCTTCTGTACACTCAGCCCTGTGCTGAGTCAACTATCTGGGTTTGGTTGATGTCTGGATATCATTAATAGAAATCTGTAACAGCTTCACAGGAAAGCAGCAAGAAGTAACAAGTATGAGACAAGATTCCTCTATGAGAAGTGATCCATCCTTATTTACTGGAGAGAAAAAGTGTGCAGCAAAAGTAGCTCACATGCTGCAATTGTACTCCTCTGCATAGCTCATGCTTGAGTACCTTTAGTGTCTTTCAGGCACTCAATTTGCCATTCTTTGGCTTTCTGCATATTCAGTCATTGAGCAGTTTGCACACAAAGCCAGTCTTTATTTCATATTCCAAATGTACTGCGAAAGAGTTACCGTGATCTGAATTCATGGCTTGTTTTTTTTTGTAAAGCAATGCAGTTATTTATTTAGTTGTAGTTTTCTAGTCTGCCTTCCAAGAACTGTTCCTTTATGACCTTTGTACTCTTTGGGAAATGTCTTGCAACTATTTTCTCCAAATGGTGACAAGTGAGTGTACTCTCTCTAATAAGGAAAAAAGGCTGATTCTTGGTCTTCAGTGGAAGGGATGTGATTGTGGGGTTGGTGAGCTGAAGCTATAGCTTTTTTATATTAAAAACAAACAAACAACTTAGTATGTGATTTCTAATGTAGAATTAATAAATTCCAGAGGTTTTCTGTGAACTTGTTTATGTATCTGACAGCTGTGTTATACCAAAGTAGAAAGGAATTACTTTAGAGTTGATGGTAATAAATCTGTAGTGTAATTTACAGCAGTAAGTTGAGTATGTGGGAGTAGAATATGGATGTCAGAACTGGGGAGGGAGCCCCATGGAAAACAACTGCTTTGAAAGACTTGCTAATTTTGGTATTCCTGACGTATTTCTAAAAGAATTGTAGACTTATAAAGCTGGTTACTTAATCTGCAGGGGAATTTTTCACTTAACGCTTTGTGGAATCCTGGTACAAAGATTATTTTTTTCTTTACATTGCAGGGAAGTTCACATACAAATTTTTGGTAATATTGTCAGACTGACTTCACAGTTTTCATTTTGGTCATTGAGGTCCACTGAAACCTCATTGTTGCCTTCCAGCACTTGAAGGGAGCATATAAACAGGAGGGGGAGTGGCTGTTTACGAGGGTGGATAGAGATAGGACAGGGGGGAATGGTTTTAAACTGAAACAGGGGAGGTTTAGGTTAGATATTAGGAGGAAGTTTTTCACACAGAGGATGGTGACAGACTGGAACAGGTTGCCCAAGGAGGTTGTGGATGCCCCATCCCTGGAGGCATTGAAGGCCAGGCTGGATGTGGCTCTGGGCAGCCTGGTCTGCTGGTTGGTGACCCTGCACATAGCAGGGGGTTGAAACTAGATGATCATTGTGATCCTTTTCAACCCAGGCAGTTCTATGTTTCTGTTATTTTTCTGAGGTTTTCAGGTGAGCTCTGAAAGCCATTTCTGAATTCTGGTTACTGCTACCAACTTTGAGCGATCATTGCAGTGCTGGTTCTGAAGAAGAGTAGAGCTTTCTATCTTCTTGCCTTAATGTTACAGCCACATCCTACCCTTAAAGTCTGTGATGGTAGTTGTAGGGATGAGGGTGTGGGAATGAATTAGCAGGAACAGTGTTTCACTGAACCTCTGAGATTTAAAAGGACATTGTAAGTTATTTCCATCTAATGGATTGAGTGAGAAATGGCCTTCAAGCTTTTAAGCATACTGAGAAGAGCATTAATGTACTTCTCTTTTTAAGCTTAACCTTGTAACGTGATATTTATTTTGGTGATGATGTTCTAAGTGTTCATAACTGTTAAAATCTCTCTTGCAGGTTTCTCAGAGTCAGGGACATGTGCACTCAGTACCAACAGTGTTTGGTGAAGCATTGCTGGGTTGTACTCCTGCTAATAAAGACCAAAGGCATCAAGGCTTGCCCCTGCCAGCTAACTCTCCTCCCAATCTTGGCGCAGAAACTCCTCAGGGGTAAGAAATCAGTTCATACTTTCATGGACTTTTATTCTTTCAGAAGTAACTCAAGTTTGTAGCAGAATATATGTAGAGTTTGTTTTTTAAGGGAGTGCAATAACTCAAGATCTTTTGGAACTTTGGAACAGCTTCAGACAGGTGTCCTGTAGGCAAGCTGCTTGCAGATTAAGCATGGGTCCATCATATTTTTTTTGTTCAGTACCAGTTTATGTTGGCCTTAAACTTGTTTGTTACTTGTAGTAACAAACTGGAAGATGTCCCACTGGACTTAAAATCTTCCAGTACTAAGTACCACTCCAAGCTCTGCACAGGTTTGAACTGATCTGCATTTCCATTATAAAACAAGCTGTAGTTGTCAAAGCATGTTTCAACCAGGTGAATGTCTCAAATACAGATTGCTTTATTTCATTTTCCAAAGCAAGTGTGAAAACTGTGCTGCAGTGTAACTGTTTTTTCTGAGCTTGAACTCATCTAGCAGTACTTAAAGGTTAGAATATTGTACCCCTGCCTACAGTTCCATCACAAAGATTAAGGTGTATGGTAGAAATGGTGTGATAGGAAGAGTAAGTGTTGTGTATTAGCTTTGCAAGGAGTGATAGTGGTTGCAGAAAGTATGACTTTTCATCTGATCTTATTGTGTGGGAACAGTTTTACTGTCTCAGTATAGGTGTAGTGCCCCCCCAGAACCACTGTCCCTGCTGAAGTTTCTTGAGCATGACATGCAAGTGGAAGGCATGGTTATAACTTGGTTATACAGCTGTTACATGTTAAAAATGAGAAAGTAACTTTAGTTGTGGAAGTAGTGGAGTAGCTACTGTAGCTAAACTGAAGTGGGATCTACAGGTAGATAAAGCTTGAGTGTTTGGTTACAGCACTTACAATAATAAAAAGAAAAAATCAAACGCAAACATGTTGAACTTTGCACAAAGTTTTACATCTTTGAATATCAGAGGTACATGATTAAATTTCTTTCAAGATTTAATGTGATTAGTGTTGAGAAACTGATGCCTTGGTTTGTCTGACACCCTTGTCAAAGTATTCCATGTTGTCTTTCAGCACATGCAGACGGAGCGTACCAGAAGTCCATCCCTCTTGTCTTAATTCTGGAACAAAACCATTGAAGGAAAATTTTACGCTCTTTCCTAAAGTGACATATATAACTAAAGAACAAACACAAAATATTAATGATCAAAATGGTAAATATACCTCTCTGATATCTTCAAGATCTTCATCTTTGAGTGATTCAACTAATGGAAAAGAAACCGGTCTGAAAAATATAAGTGAAGCTCCTCTGAAGCCCACAACAAACTTTTCTAAAGAGTGTATTTCTGCAAAACCATTGCAACATCTTAACTCCTCCGTAGCAATACCGAGAATCAATAGCTCTGTTGAACTGCAGAGGACTTTAGATTGCAGGCCCTCAACATCGGATGCTCACCTGCTCCCTTTTACTGAGGCTGGAGTTAAATCACACAGTGGTTGTAACAGCCAAAAAGGAAACAAGGTGGATGAACAAGTAGACATGGAATTTTTTATTAGGAGAAATTCAAATGAAGGTTTTTATGAGAGAAATGAAAATGAAAGCTTTTGGAGTGGGAGTACCAAGATGCAGGATAATGGTAGGTATTTTTTAAACTTCCTGTCACTTGAAGATATCCCTGTTTCTGAGTAATTTAGTGCAAGTATATTCTTTGTAACATTGACAAAAATAGCAATTTTAATTTTGTTGGAGAGTGTTCTGGAATATAAGTCATTTATGGGTAAAATTGAGAAAAATGTTCTTCTTGCTAGATTTGGAGAGCAAACAGAATTGTTACAAAGCGTGCAAGAATAGAATGGCAAAACAGATTACATGAGCAAGGTTCTGTTTGGAAGACAGATGCTGATGGCATAATGAGACTGCTTTACAAAATTGAGGACTGCTGCTAAAAATGTATTATGGGAGATGGATGTTGTTCTCAATGGAGCTTTAATTAAGGAGGGCCTTTGTTCAATAACTGTTCTCAAACAAAATTAAAAAGCCTTGTTTCTGTGTTATCTGTGGCCCAGTTCCACTTGCTGAGCTCTTTGAGTTTTCTTCATGAACAGAATAGGGAAGGCTGTGGTTATTTATGGAGCTGGACTCCTGATGGTGTGTCTGTGCTGTGCATCAGACGGTGTAGCTGTCAGTTTTGGGTTCTACAACTCTCCCTACACACCCATCTCTCTGGTTTCAAACTCATATTGCTTGGTCTTGGACTACCAGGTATTGTCCTAAAACTGGCATGGATAAACAGCCAGCTGAGCAGTCACTGAGCCCTGCTAGGTTTCATGTGCAATGTGGGAGGAAGGGAGCTGCTTCCTATCTGTTACAGTGAGGTGCTGAAATCCATTGCCCTTTGAGTGGGAGAAACAGGCTAAGAAAGAGCCTGGTTGTACTTCTGTCTTCATTACTTTTGATTCATGCTCTGAGCAACTCCACAGACAGGTTCTCAAGCCCAGATAGTTGTAGTGCTTTCAGTGAAAGCAGGCACACCTTCAGAAGTTTGCTATGGAAAGGTGAATGTATCTGTTAAATTTGGGTCCCTGAACTATGCCTCCACTGGAACAGCACCTTGAGAAAGTTCCTGCTGACTGCAAATATTTTACAATTATTTTTTTTAATATCATGGGGAACATATAAGAAAAGTTGTCAGTTGTCAAGTTGTTTCTCACTTGAAGACATTTGCTTGCATATTTATATAACAAACTGATTAGTACAGCTTGTGTAATCCTCACTGCTCTTCCCTACAGTAATAGTTCGCAAGTCCATTTTAGCAGATGCTTCTAAAGTGAAGAAGCTGCAGCAGAGTGGGGAAGCATTTGTACAGGATGGCTCCTGCAATAATATTGCACCTCACCTGCATAAATGCAGGGAATGTCGCTTGGACAGCTACCGAAAGAACAAAGACCAGAAAGATTCCACTGTCTTTTGTCGGTTCTTTCACTTTAGAAGGTAAGAACAATATTGAGTGTATGCAGACCTTGGTATTCTTTAAATGTGAACAACAAGATGCTTGTTGGGATAAGATGGCTGACCTCTTTTCTTACTTTTCTGGAAGGGGTGCTGCTGAATTCTCACTATTATCTATAACATTATCTTCTTTTTCCAGGCCAGATGTAAACCAGCTCTTTGTTTCAACACAGCCTTATGTAGATCTCTGGTTAAAACTACTGGGTGTCAGTGTGTAGCTATCAAGCTATAAGCCTAGTATTCCTAACCATAAGCCTAGTATTCCCAACCAATGAAAAGTTCCCTGTGTTTTTCTAGCACTTAAAAATTTTATAACTGCTTCATTTGAGTAGAAAATATTTTGGCAGAACTTTGAGCTGTTTATTTTGCTGTTCTGGGCTGAAAGCCAGTTGGGATAACTTGAGTGTAGTTTGAATGCTTCAGCTTGATAGTACTGGGAGGTTAGACTGTCTCTCAGCATTTAGCAATTGAAGTGTGAAATGTTAGATATATTTTACAGTTACAGAGGAGTTACAACAAATGACCATCGACTTTCAGTCTAGAGAACTAAAACAGCAGTAGGCAAAGCAATAGTTTGTTGTGTTGCTTCATCTTTTTATTCTGCCTTACACTTGAGTGTTGTGCCATTTTTGTCATTGGTGTGCTTAGTGGATTTCAGGGAGGGCAGGAAGGGGGACTTTGTGGAAAACACAGTGATGCTGAGTGCTGTTGGCATGTTCCAACCCTGATCTGCAGCTTCGGATTCCCTGTGTCCCTATGAGCCTGATCTCAAGCTGAACAGTCAAGGTCCCTGGATGTTTTCTCTTTATTTCTTAAGACAAATAAAGAACCATTTCAGAAAAGGTTTTGAAATGCTACTTGAAGCATATCTGTAAGCCCAGGGTGGATGTTGTCAGACTGTGGTTTGACAGTTTTTAGTGTGTCCTTTCTTCTGTGTTGGAGTAGTGTAAACTTTTCCATGAACTACTTGGTCCAGATGTTGTGTCTTGGGGTAGGTATGACATCAGTTGAAAAAAGCATCAGAATGCCTGAATCCTTTAGTTTAGAAGTCAGTGCCAGTGGAACTGTCCTTGTTTATTGAATGTGTGAAATCTTGAGAGTCTGCAAATGGCTGTGCTATGTGATAGTGGTTGCCAGCATCTTTTCTTGCCACTCTTGGTGGTGTTGTGAGCACGCGTTGTCATCATATGTCAAAAGGTTCCTGAAAATGTGAATGTAACTCTAACTTTTCTCATTTAATAAGCTACTAAAAATGCAGATCTCCAAACTACTAGGATTGCTCCATAGTATATCTTATTCAAGTTTTGCTGTAGGAGGTGTATTGGTTCTTTAAAATTTTGTTGGCAGCTACTTCCAAATTAGTAGTTTCATAAATGTTCCTTAAGAACACAATGTATTTATATTCTTTTGTGAGCTGTAGCTTGTTCTAGATGAAGCTCTTATTGTCACTTCCTCTGCATATGATCCTTAATAGATATACAATTTTCAAATGATATTGACATGATAATTTTTGCATGAATAAAAAAATCTCTAGGAAATGTAACTTACTATCTCAACCTAAAGCACTGATTTCTTTGGTAAGGCTTTTTAAACAGGCAGTATATTAAGCATGTCTAGCATTTATGACAAGTATGTTTAGCCGTGTTCTCTGCAACTATTATGTTAACTATTGACATATGGTGTACATGTTTGCAGTATAGGCATTGACTCATGGGAGGAAATATAAACTAATGGAACATCTGAGGTGATGGCTCTTTCTTCCCTGCTCGTTTCACAGGCTGCAGTTCAATAAGCATGGGATACTGCGTGAGGAGGGCTTCTTAACTCCCAATAAGTATGACCCTGAGGCTATTAGCTTGTGGCTGCCTTTATCCAAAAATGTTGTTGGCCTGGATCTGGACACAGCGAAATACATTCTGGCCAACATTGGAGACCACTTTTGTCAGCTGGTGATATCTGAAAAGGAAGTTATGTCTACAATTGAACCACACAGTAAGATCAATTTGTATTAAATCACCCTTACCTTAATAACATGTGAAACTTTAAGCTTTTGACTTGTGTAAAAATAAGTTGTAAGCTTTTGGAAATGTCATTGAAGTCTTCAGAGTTGCCCTCTATTCTCAGAGGAAGGTTAAGATCTAGCATGAACTAGTTTTAACAGCTCCTTCTTTATGGAAGGGAGCATAATTCTTTCATGTCTGTCAGAATAATTCTCAATTTATAGTTGCACTTTCCCTTCAACAGGGAAACGTATTTCTCTTATGAAATGAAGTGTCTTAAAAGAACAAAAAAGCTAAAGTAACAGGTAGCTGCCTGCCATCTATTTTTAATATGTAAGTGAAATTGTGCTTTCCTCTTGATTTTGGAGGATGGTTTTGCTCTTATTTGTGTGCCAGACCCAACAACACTACCTATAAAGTCAGTAAAGAAATGTTTCTTTTCCTCCGTCCAAAAGCATAGTTTGCAGTGGGCCTGTTTTAAGAAGTTCTGCACACAGCAGAGCTGGAGCTTGGCCAGAGAGGTGTTACTGAGGGGATAACTGACTGCAGAGCTCCATCAGTGCCAACAGGGCAAACCTTGCATGGTAGAACACAGGTTTTTGGCTGCACCTGAACATGAGCCACTAAATGGGAGGCATTGTGAACTTGCATAATCACTTCTCAAAATGGAATGGATCTTAAAATAATGGTGGTTTTGTTTTGGATTGTAACTACGTGACAGAAGTTTAGAAAGGTGCCTGCCCAATGTCTTCTGCATTTTGGGTAGTACTGACATAAGGATCACACTGGTTTACCAGTCACTGCAAGGTTGTGAATAGAAGGAGAAAAACTTAATTGGACTGACTATCTTTAAAAGCAGAAGGGAAGATTCGTTAAATATTTCAGAAATGCTGCTGTGAGGTCCTGCCCTGAACTACTTGGAATCTGCAAACTCTGTGTTTCACTTCAGCTAGAACACATCCAGGCCTGTGAAGCCAAAGCATGAAGAGCTAGAGAACGGTACAGGCTAGAATGTCAAAACAACTTCAGAAGGTTGTAGTTTCATGAATTCCCCCCCCCCCCTCCCCCCAAAATTAAGAATGTGAGGTGTTTTTTTTTTTTTAATAGCAGAGGAAGCATTTTTTAGCATACTTATAAAGCTCGTGTGCCAGTTCTGGAGTTGGTTTCAAAGAAGCTAAATGTATTGAATTCCCTCTTTGCTTGTTTATAATCCTGGCTGTTGAAAGTAAGGGAACTCAATTTCATGAAAATGTTTGTAATGTCCTGGGTAGGAAGGCAATATTTTGGAGTATAGGTACTCTCTTTGAACAGTTCAGCTCACTTAGTTGGTGTAGGAGAAAGCTACTGCCTAGAGTTGAAGCTGTGGTAAGCTTTTCTTGGCAGAGTTCAGTTCAAATTACACCTTTTAAGAACTCTGGCTCTGACAAACTGACCTCTGCCAAAATATAAGTTTGTTTGGTCAGATAGCTCTCCTTGGGGAGTGGCATTTAAATGTTTTTGCATTCTGTAGAGTATCTTGGTGAGCTCTTCCTGCCTCACACCTGGGGGTCCAGAAAGAAAGAGTGACTGTGAAGAAAGAATTTGCTACTATTTAACCACGGAGGAGTTAGTGCCAAAAAAATCCTTTGAGTGAGACTGTGTTAGGTAGAGCCTGAAGGGAGACAGTTGTATCAGAGAAAATGATTTGGGAGAGTGACTTGGAGAGTGGGAAGATGATATATTATGGGTATGTGATAACCTAAACGGCAGTGGTCAGTTGGACAAGTAAGAACAACTGAGCAGGTATCTATGAGAAGGTCTGATGCACAACTGTAATGTGTAGGAAACTTCCTAAAAGCCTGGTCTAGTATTAAATGTGGAGGTTGGTGGCCCTGCATATGGCAGGAAGGTTGGAGATTCATGATCCCTACCAACCCTGGCCATTCTGTGAGTCTGTTTTTAAAAAAAAAAAAAGAGCAGGGGGCAAATCCAAGCTGATTGTAGCATGCTAAGTGTTAAGTCTGGCTTGCTAATAGCAACTTAAGGATTTTTTAGGACAACTGTGGAATTTCCACTTGAGGGAATGTCAACAGTATGCATGTTAACATGGTCAGGTGCTTATCAGGAGTAATAGTGCTGCACAGAAGGTGAAATATTGATAGTTTAGACTTTACTGAATGTTCTTTTTTAAGCTGAGATGGGGGAGGTTTAGGTTAGGTATTAGGTGAAGTTTTTTCACTCAGAAGGTGGTGATGCACTGGAACAGGTTGCCAAATGAGGTTGTGGATGCCCCATCCCTGGAGGCATGGAAGGCCAGGCTGGATGTGGCTCTGGGCAGCCTGGTCTGGTTGGTGACCCTGCACATAGCAGGGGGTTGAAACTATATCATCTTTGAGGTCCTTTTCAACCCAGGCCATTCTATGATATGATGATTCTTCTGAATCTATGACTGCAAAGGCTTGATTTGGGAGCTCTGGTAGAGAAAAAGACTGAGCCTTTCTTATATCAAACGATTCAACGTTTAATTTGTTAACTAAAACTCTAACACTTGGCCTATTGTGTCAATTCCCACAGGACAAGTAGCCTGGAAGCGTGCAGTTCGTGGAGTTCGAGAGATGTGTGATGTGTGTGACACCACCATCTTCAACCTCCACTGGGTCTGCTCTAAGTGCGGCTTCGGTGTGTGTGTCGATTGCTACAGGATGAGGAAAAAAGGCATACATGAAGGTGAGAGTGTATATTGCTGCTTGAGACAAAGGGAGAGTGAGAAGAACCTGTGTTTTGAATTGGCAGTACAGTTTACAACTTAGAAACACGAAGTAATGACTGTGTTTTACAGATGATGACTCGGATACTTTCTCCTGGTTTAAATGTGTGAAGGGGCAGGAGCACGAACCAGAGAATCTAATGCCTACACAAATAATTCCTGGAAGAGGTATTTTAAATATTTGATTGGGAGACTGAAGGACTGTCATAGCCTTTTGCTGTCTTTTCTATGTTGTTGCTATTATACCAAGTGGCTTTTTGTTGTTTTTTTTTAGCTTTAGGGTTAACCAAAGCTTATTTTTATTGTCAACAGGTTTAAGTTCATAAAGTGGAACAGCCTGTGTGCTTACTACTTGTTTCATTATCTTGACCTTTACAAAGTAGTAGCAAAATGTAGTGTTCAAAGATGAACTGTTACTTTGCTTTTGTTCAGCTGAGTAGTATATGCTTTTTAAAAAACTTGCTGAATGTTCTAATTAAATAAGCTCATTAATTATTCTTTTTCCTTCAGCACTCTATGATGTTGGTGATATTGTTCACTCTGTAAGAACAAAATGGGGAATAAAGGCAAACTGCCCCTGTGCAAATAAACAGTTCAAGGCACTGTCAAAGCCAACTCTAAAGGAGGATTCAAAACAGGTATTGCTGTATTGTCTCTCACTGCTGCCTGTGTAGCTGAAATACCCATATTTTTGTCACAATCTAGCTGTATTTGAAGCCAGTGGCAACTGACACAAGCACGCCAGTCCTGACCATTGCTGGATTTTTGTTTGGTATTCACATCTGGGGGAAGTCTTATTTGGTTCTTTTGACAACTGGTAACTTGATGAGTAAACTATTCTTGAAAAATGTTAGTGAGTTTGGTTGTTTACCTGTTTCTTCAGTAAAAACATAGAATTAGACTGAGAGGACTTGTAGTCTTAACAACAGAGATGGGTAATGGCTGAGAGTGAAGGCTAGCCCTTGTGTCCTGGAGGTGTAGTATGTGCAACACCTAAAAGAATAAGTAGGGTAGGAAAGTACTGGAATGCATAAAAGAGCTGAATATGGATTAAGTGGCAAGGACTGCAGCAGTATGGAGGAGCACTGCTTTCTCTGGCGTGCTGGTAGGAAGTTTGTTGTTTTATTTTATTAACAAGCAAAGAAACATAAAGTTTGGGTTATCTTGGTGATTTAATTTCAATAACTAATTTTAATTGCTATGAAAAAATTAAGAAGGCTTTCATTTTGTGGATGGCGACATGTAATTAGATGTAGTACTTTTTTGCTTTCCCAAATACATACAAGTTAATAGCCTAGTTTTGCAGCATTACAAGGAATCAGTGTCTTTTACATGTGCTTATTCATAAACTTATTATGAGAATAAATACATTTTGAGTCCAAGAAGCAGGCTGAACTTGATTTTTGTCTGGTAATCCATGTAAGTGGTATGGAATATTATGAAGTATTAAGAGCAAGGAAGGTGGTTATGTAGTTAAAATTAGCATACAACTGACCTAGCTTGGGTCTTGGTTTCTTAGTACGTCCTCTATACCTTTTTCTCTGTAAAATGGAAAAATTGTTTTATGTTGTGATATAGTGGGAATAATTTATTTAATGAAGTTTGAGACTTGTATTATGTCATGTTGGGAATTCTTACCAAGCATCAGTAATCATTAAGATGTGAAATAAAGGATGTAGCAGTAATAAATGCATATAATGATTTCTTGTTTGGCTAGTCTTTGAGCAGGAAGGAGAAATATAGCCAGCCATGCAGAAGTCCCAGGCCAAAGCACTAGTTTTGGTTAGCCTGCCAACATAGCATCTCCAAATGAATAACTCAGCTGCCTAGGAGATGTGCTGAGGGTTCTGTGCATGGCTTCTTCTGGCCAGGCCAGAGCTGCACTCACATGCAGCTCTATTTTAGAGCCGGTAGATTTTTGCCACTTTAGGATAGAGATTTAGGTGCTCTATCTACATGTTTTAAACAAGCAAACTGAACCTCCAGCTTAGCCCTGAACATTATGGTTTTAAACTGAGAGAGGGGAGGGTTAGGTTAGATATTAGGAGACAGTTTTTCACACAGAGGGTGGTGACACACTGGAACAGGTTGCCCAAGGAGGCTGTGGATGCCCCATTTCTGGAGGCATTCAAGGCCAGGCTGGATGTGGCTCTGGGCAGCCTGGTCTGGTGGTTGGCGACCCTGCACACAGCAGGGGGTTGGAACTGGATGATCATTGTGGTCCTTTTCAACCCAGGCAGTTCTATGGTAATCTACTACTAGAATAGCAAGAAGCAGCTACTAAAATTGTATTTGGTTTCCAAAGCAATCTCAGAAAATGCGTCTGGGAAACTCGGCTTTCTTTGCTTATCGTGAATAGAGATGGACTCTAAGCTCTTGAAGTTGGGAAGTCATGGTTTCTCTTGAATCTCTTTTCATTACTAAGATGCAATGCTGACCTCTTGTGGAGATGAGGTTATTTAAAGGAGGGCAGCACTTCCTTTATTCTGTTTTGAAAGAACATTGCTCGTTTCCCCTTCTTGTGTGGTGTGCTTATATTTAATCAGGATCTCATTTTGTGTTTTTCAGAATTTGGTACCTGGAGAGAGGACCAGCCTTCAGCAAAACAACTTAGTCCTGAGCCCACAGGTCCCTACACATGATCCTCCTGTCAAACCAGCAGCTGGAAGTAAACAAACTCCTTCAGTAAACACTTCTCCTTCATTAAGTTGGCTGTCAAATATAACAAGTGGAAATGTGAATAAAGAAAACAAAGGTATGTATAGAACCAGTGAAAAGCAAACCCTTCTGTGGCTGTTTGTTAGAAAAACATGTCCAGGACCCAGCAGTATCTTTGAGGATGACACAGTCTGCCTACTGGAATGGAGTTCAGTGAGTGTATTGCAGAGCATGTGCATATTGCACATACGTATGTATGTTCATATGTGTATATGTGTGAGTATCTCATGCTTTAGATTTTATTTTAAGGATGTTTGTTGTGGTTCAGGTTAATCCTTGCTTTATTTCTTCAGATGTTTTTTCTTCTTCATTGCAGAAAAACTTCTCGTGCCCATTTCCAAGAATGAAAACAAACCTCTTCAGACACTCCCTAGCTTAGCTAAGCCTGCTACAGCCCTGCAGACATTCAACAGTGCAATACTAACACCTGTGAGCAACAACAACACAGGTTTCCTGCGGAATCTCCTGAATTCTTCTGGAGGAAAGGTATGTGACATCTCTGTTTCACTGGCTTGAGTTGATACAAGGCTTAGACTGCTGTTCTGTGGCTGTAATCAACTACTTCTATTTGTCACAGTAGCCAATATTTTGTTTTCCTTTGGAGGGAAAAAGGGTTTAATTCCATGTCTGTTGCAGTGCCTTTTAGAATAGTAATTTAATAGTGCTTTCAGCCAGTCTTGCTTGAGTGAGGGGCTGGGATGCAGGTGATGAAGCTGACAGAATTACTCAGCATAATGTCTGGCAGGTGCATAGATTAGATCTCCTCTAAGTAGTCTCTAAAAGAACCATCAAGGAGCTTACACAGGGATCTAAAACCTCCTTCTGTGGAGGGTGGGTGACTGGCTTGTACCTGGCCTGCACACCACTTCACTTCAGATGTTCCTGGGCTGTAATCTGCTCTTACAGGTACAACCCCAAAGAGATTGGGGTCCCTTGATAAAACTGCATTTCTGTTCTTTGATATAAAGAAAGTCTTCCTTCATGCAGCATTCAGTGGCTTTCTGCAGTGTTGCTGAAATCAGGGTGGAGCTGCATGCTTCCAGAATGCTATAGATGTTATCAGAAATGGCACTGACATTTAATGACAGTGAATTTCTAGGCAGCAGCTGTTTTGCAGACCTCTGTTTCTCTGCATGATTGTGTGCTGATGTGAAAATTTTGGAAGTGGCAGATATATAAATTCATCAGTATTAAATACATCATCTTTGAATTGCAGAGGACAATGACAGAAAAACAGACCAACTTTTTTGTTCTTTCTCCTTTTTTTTTAATAAACTAGACAGACAATGGACTCAAGAGTACACCCAAAATCCTTGATGACATTTTTGCTTCCCTGGTGCAAAATAGAACTGTTACAGACATGCCTAAGAAGCCACAAGGACTGACTATAAAGCCTACAATAATGGGCTTTGATACGCCTCATTACTGGTTATGTGATAACCGCTTACTGTGTCTTCAAGATCCCAACAATGAAAGTAATTGGAATGTCTTCAGAGAGTGCTGGAAGCAGGGACAGGTAGTGAACATCTCCTCTTGCCATTTTCACATCATGTGCTTTGATCTCTTACTTAAAAGGCAGGTGCAAACTTACTGCAGCCATAAGCAACACTGAAACTCCGTAATATGTAATACCTGAACACCAAAATCCTTAGATAAAAAGATATATTATTTAAAACCAGTTTCCAAACACAGTGCTGAACTTATGGCTATTTAAAAAAACAAATAATGCTGCTTTAGAGCTTGAAATAAGGAATGATGAAAAGTATGGTGTAATTCCTGTATGGCAGTGTGTTCATCCTTTAAAATGGGATGTTTGCAGAGTACCCATATTTAATGTTTGGTATGTTTCATGAGTGGTTAGAATTCGGATTTTTGATGTTTAATAATTCTCTGGGGTGTCTTTTTCCCAGCCTGTAATGGTGTCAGGAGTGCATCACAAATTAAATGCAGACCTCTGGAGACCTGAGTCCTTCAGGAAAGAGTTTGGCCAACAGGAAGTAGACCTGGTTAACTGCAGGACCAATGAAATAATCACTGGCGCTACTGTAGGAGATTTCTGGGATGGGTTTGAAGATATTTCAAGTAAGCAGTGTGAATTTCTTTACAATGGGTAAAATATTAAGCAATGATAATCTTACTCTAGCATAATATTGCCATCCTTGAGCTGCACAGAGCAAAATAAAAGATGTTCCAGGCTTTGTCTTTGTGAACAGTGTCTGCCCTGTGTCCTCACCAGGTGTGCTCAAGGGATGGTGGAGTTAGTGGAAATGTTGTCAGCTGTGTTGAGGACCATCTCTGAGCAGCATGTTTGACTGCTTTTTTCCTTTGGGAAAGCATTCTGTAAAAGTCAGGGATCTTCTTGGTGAATTGGTTCACCTGTCAGCTTTAACCCACACAGGTAAAACCAAAGAACCTGTGTGGGGTTGATATACAGAAGGTAATTAGGTTTTACTTTTGAAACTTGTAGGTGTTCCTAAGGTTTGGGGAGGTGAGCATGAGGTTTGACATCGTTTTTACTTCTAGAAACAAACTTTTTCCAGAATTAATGCTTGCCCTGGCAGTTGAAGGTCCTGCCTCATCTGTGTGATGTAAACTTTGGGGATTTGGTACTTTAGGCAAGAAGACTGGGAGCTGGAAGGCTTGTTCATGCTTCTCATTTGTGTTACTTGAGCTTGGTTTTACCATCAGCTTGCCTCAAATGCAGAACAGTTGTCCGAGTTAAGCTGTGGGATGTGCTTGGAAAAGGAAGCCACTGAAGTTCACACTGTGCTTCATCCAAAAACCTCTGTACTGTCACAGCACGTTTCTCAGGGCAGTAATACCTGACTGTAGTGTCAAGTGAATTGCATGTCTTCAGTTCTGTATGAACAGTTGTAGGGCAAACATGGCTATAAAATAAGATCAGGATTCCATGATTATTTGCATTATGAGTGGTACAAGCTCTTATAAGCTGACATGTTAACATCTGACAATAGGTCGCCTGAGAACAGAAGAAGGAGAGCCAATGGTGTTGAAGCTTAAAGATTGGCCTCCAGGAGAAGATTTCAGAGATATGATGCCTTCTCGGTATGAATTTACCAAGAAACTGTTTGTGTGCTATGCTTCCAAAACAATAAAATGTAGAAATACTGTTACATTTTGACAGCTGCTTCATCAAAAGCTGTTGATTGCATGATCTAACACTGAACTGTGCTGTATTTCTTTTAGGTTTGATGATTTGATGAAAAATATTCCACTGCCAGAGTACACTAGGAGAGGTGGAAAGCTCAACCTTGCCTCTCGACTTCCCAACTATTTTGTACGACCAGATTTGGGCCCTAAGATGTACAATGCCTATGGTAAGGAATTTGTCAGACTATAGCTCTTTCTGCCCATGTACTTGAATCACAGAATGGCTTGGGTTGGAAGGGACATTTGAGCTCATCTAGTTCCAACTCCCTGCTATGGGCAGGGACGCCTCCTTGTCACTTAAAAGACACTTCAAACTTTAAGCCTCATCATGGCCTGTAAAGAGATCCTGATGTGCAAATGCTGTAGCAGCTGCTGAAGGAGAAACTGCTGCTGAGAATTCTTTATTCAAAACTGCTGCAGAAATCCTTTGGTAACAGTAATGTGGTTTTTGTGTATTATACAGACAGGGTGTAGGTGCAGGCTGATGTGTTTGTTAGCTTATAAACTTAACAGTTGGCAAAATACAGAGGAGATGCTGCAAAGTTCTTGGGGAAAAAAGGAAACTGCTGCCTGGAAGAGTTTGCTGATGAAAGTAAAAGCTGTCTGGGCTTTTCAGATAGCTCTGCTTAGAGTAGCAGAAGATTTCTCACTTATCTCACTAATGTAGTGGGTGCTTTTTTTCAGGCTTAATAACACCAGAAGATAGAAAATATGGCACAACAAATCTCCACTTGGATGTGTCTGATGCAGCTAATGTTATGGTGTATGTGGGGATCCCCAAAGGTCAGGCTGATCAAGAAGAAGGTGAAGTTTTTTCTCTTGTTCTGGAGGAACTATTTCCCTCCAAAAAATCTGTGGTCCAAATGTTGGTGGAAATGTCTCTGTAGTGTAACTGCTTGTGTTTACTCTTAACAGAAGTACTTAAGACCATACAAGATGGTGATTCTGATGAGCTGACAATTAAGCGTTTTACTGAAAGTCGAGAAAAACCTGGAGCTCTGTGGCACATCTATGCTGCTAAGGATACAGAGAAGATTCGGGAGTTCCTTAAAAAGGTAGGCTGCTCCATCTTAAAAACTGTTTTATTATCTATGCAGACTTCTAAATACAAATTCTTGGACTTTTTTTTTTACCTTCATCCTGTTCCAGTTTCAACAAAAACACAGTTGAAACCCTTAAAAATGTGCATGAGGTGGTCTTTAGAAATGTCAGTCACGTTGTTTCTGAAGTCTCCCTTCTTTCATGTTTCTACACTGAGTTTTTCTTTCCATAGCTTTCAGGTTTAGATTGAGGGAGAAATGAAGGTTTTTCAAGTAGCTTCCATGGGAGTGAAAGGGTCTGAGAAAGGGAAGAGGTGATGCTACATCACAAAGGGCTCCTTTCACTATTTACCACAGGTGGTAGTCTCATTTCTGGAACTTCTTTTCACTAAAAGTAAAAATGTCAATGTTTAAAAGGATAAATGGGATGGTCTGAACAACTGTTGGCCTTGTCAGCCTGAGTACTGTCTTAGACAACAGCTTGGAGAAGTTACAGCCAATTTGGTTAAGATTTGTTTTTTTTTTTTTAATACTGTATCTGATAAAACTTGCTAGTGAATTTTATAAGCAGCAGCGATTTGATTCTTAGTCTCTTGTAGCATACTTCCCTGCAGGCCTGAGACTTTCAGCAGCTTCTCTTGGGATAGAACCAAGGCATTCATCTCTTTCTAAATGAACTCTTAAGATTCAGACATCTGGTCCCTACATCCTCCTGCCCCTCAGTTTTCCTGTATGAAGTCTTCATGCCTCCCTGACTAGTAACTTCTGGAACTCTTGTTAGCAGGCTGTTTTGGTCAGCAAGCACGCTGAATAGTGCAGGCCTCAGGGCAGGCACCTGCTGTATTTGGCACTCAATATGTTTTGTCCAGTTACGTGCTAGAGTAGTGTAAGAGAAATGATCTCACATATGAGTGGTTCCTGTTGTGAACATGAGTCACTTGACCCTGTTTCTTCTTTCCTATGTACATTGGAATGATTTTAATGTACCATATCCACCTTTTGCAGCACATTAGTGAAGCAAGTGGAAATAAGCAGTGATGTAGCCTTGACAAAAAAGAACTGAGTAAAGAATCCAAATCTTGCATATAACTCTTGTATCTGATCACATGGTGCAAGCTGCTCTGTGTGGAATGCATACATATGCAACACCACGTGCACATCTTGGTTATCCTGTAGGACTGGTGTGTTGTAACAAGTCTTTTTCCCTACTTTTCAGGTTGCTGAAGAACAAGGTCAAGAAAATCCTGTAGATCACGATCCCATTCATGATCAAAGTTGGTACTTGGATCGATCTCTAAGAAAACGCCTTCACCAGGAGTATGGAGTTCAAGGCTGGGCTATTGTACAGTTTCTAGGAGATGTAGTTTTCATTCCAGCAGGAGCTCCACACCAGGCAAGGACCAGTGGCACTGTTTGCAGCCTGACCACTTGGGCAGACTTTGCATACGTGGCTAATGCTTGTTTGTTCTCTCCAGGTTCATAATTTGTACAGTTGTATTAAAGTTGCAGAAGACTTTGTATCCCCAGAGCACGTCAAGCATTGCTTCTGGCTCACTCAGGAATTTAGATATCTGTCACATACGCATACAAACCATGAAGATAAATTGCAGGTATGTTTCCAGTGCTCAAGGAGAGCCTTGTCCCTTTTCTCCCTTTAAAAAACAAACAAACCTTCACCAAATCCATACAACCTTTCATGTTCGGATTGGGTTGCATTGGACCTTGGAAAAACTGTTTTTAATGTTAAACATGTTGAGTGCTTTTGAGGAGGCCTTCTGATATTGCACTGAAGCATTATCTCCTGTTTGTGCTGTTCTTCCTGTGGTTGAACCCACAGTAATCTGAGGCTGCTACGTTTCAGCTAATGCCCCATTAGCACTGCACCTCATTTTCACAGATCAGTGATGTAAGTGAGGCTCTTACAGAGAAGCATGTTTGTGCTTATGGGTGCAGAGAAGGTGGGAATCTGCAGCAGTATGTCAGGGCCTTCTAATCTGCCCTGCCCATGCTGTTTAGTTGTAAAACTGAACGCCTTCTCTTTTTTTCCTAGGTGAAGAATGTCATATACCATGCTGTTAAAGATGCAGTTGGGATATTGAGAGCTAACGAATCCAGCCTTAGCAGATCATAAAGTAGAAAGCCTTAACACACACTATGAAACAGAAGCGCTGGCAGCTGTTTTAACTACTCAGTCAGGACCTCTGTGGACTTTGAGATTATATGAATGTTACCTCATCTTCCTTTCAGCAGTACCAGAGGATCGTGGTACTATGTTCTGTGTATTCTTCCAATGTTTACAAACCTGATATGTATATGTAGTAATATGTATGGACTGTGGCATACTGTGAATGCTCAGTTGCAATAGAACTTTATATGGAGTTGCTCTCCAAACTGTACAAAATACCTCCTATAGAACTGTCGGGAATTATTCCAAACTACTCATTTGAAAACTATTATCTGAGACATTGTAAAGCTCCAATTTTTAAAACTTATTTCAGGGTGGGAGGAAATACAAAGTCACCCAACTAATAACCAATTTATGTTAACTAAGAATGCGGTTCTGTAACTTCACATTAACATAGAACTAGCATTTAAAAGTAGCTTTAAGCTATTGTATAGTAACATAGAGATGGAGATTAACCATCTTTAGGTAAATGTATTTAAATTTCTAAATGTTAAAAGAAACTTTTAATCAAATGTCTTCTGTTTGAAACTGATCTTTAATTTGAACTTACGTTTGATTCTCTGGTTTTTAACACTGAATGGTCTACATAAAATTCTTCTATTTCAGATACTGTTCCTTGCCCAGCTTCTTCAGTTGACTCTTTAAAAAGCAATGAATTTGATGCAGTGCTTTGAAATGCAAAAGTAAATTGTGTATCATATTGTTCATAGAGTTTTTTTAAAGTATCTGAAAGCTCAGTGTATTTAATTCAATGATCTGTTTGTAGCCTTTTTTGGTTACCACAATGTGGCTTAGATTGATTATTGCTTCTCAGCTGCTACTGTGGTCTGTATTGAATGAGTTCTGCAGCTTCCATCTTAAAAAGCACACTGCTCTAAAATTACTAAGAGATTGAAAACACCACAAATTGTAGAAACAAGCAGAGGAGCAATGCATCTGTCATCTACCAAGATAAGCTAAAATAAAAACAGCTTTTCTATTCCTCCGTGCCCCTTTCAGCACTGAACCACACAGGACAGCAGTTGGGCTGAGCCACGTACAGGGCAGCTTTGTGAGCCAGAAGTTGTTTTTCTGAACTCAGTGTGAGCTCCTCTGGGAGAGGACATGAGGTAGCAGTGGGTCAGTGCAGGTACTGTGATGCAGCTCAGTGTGCAAAGAGATGTTCCCATTCACTGAACTCCTGCTACCTTGAAGTCTGCTGAACAACTGTGTGTGTTCAGTGAGAACTTCTCTCCATCTTTACTTGCTGAGGTCTCTAGCTGGCAGAAAACACACAAGCTAGAGCAGCCACTGCTCTGTCTGCCTCCTGCAATGAGAAACAAAATGTTCACTTGTCACTTTGTGTTTGAAGCAATGAAGAACCCTTCAAGCCAAGGCCGTGTTTCAGATGAATATTCATTCTTGCAATAGCAAATTTTGAGTAAATGAAATAAAGCAGCTTAATTGCCTTTCTTGGATCTGGTTGGAAGATGTGTGGGGAGCTGGTGTGCTGTATCCTAGCACCCAGAGAGTGTAATGAGTCACACTGATTTTACACACAGACACGTGCATGTACAGCTGAGGAGACTCATTTGCTGAAGATGGATTTTGAATTTCCTTACTACTGCTGTTACATAACCTTGTCTTGCCCCAGCTTTCAACTACTACCAGTAACTGACCCTCCAGGTGTTTTTCCTTTTTGAGCTGTGAAGATGATAAGAAACAAATTGCCCTTTCAGTCAGCTCTGGTTTGTTTTGCTGCTGACAGGGAACACTTGAGTTTCATTGCTCCAAAGCTGGGCACCAACCAAAAGTGTTAGGGCTGCTGGGGCTGTGCCTCTGTTTGCCTCCAGCATGAAAGTGAACAGCACTTGGCTCCTCCTTGCTTCGTCAGCTGAGACTGGAAGCTGTTGGGCAGCACCCAGCTCTATGTGCCTTCTCTGGACACATTCACAGTCTTTAACTTTCTTCAGTATGTCTGCCTTAAAATTAGAGACTGTTTACTTTGCCTGTGAGGCTCCTGTGCTACTGACCTGTTGGAACAGAGGAAGCATGGTGCTGTGTGCTGCCTCTGCTGCATCAAGACAAGAGTTTTGCCTGAAGTTTTCCTTTGGGAGGAGGCATCCTGTGCTGGGGATTCAAATCCCATCACTTAAACAGCAGCTGACTTCACAAACTGACACAGAAGTACCTGGTATGGTTATGATGATGTTCAGACAGCTGCAGGTGACCTCACCTTTCAGCATGGAGTTCTGAGCATTTGTCAGTAATCTTCTTTACAATGAAATTAATTAAAACTGAAGATGGAGAGGCTTCTTGAGCTCAGTGGGTTTTATTGGAATGTGACTTTATGAAATTTCAGAGCAAGGAACTTGAGATGGTACAAATGGCAACAGCAGGTTCAAATAAAATTGTTCTTCTCTGTGAGCAGGTGCTTCTCGATCCTGCAGCAAGAACTGTTAGAGCAGTGCAGCCACCTTCCTTGCAGAATCTTCAAGCTGCTCTAAGGGACCTTGGATCTACCCCCCCCCACCACAATAATGAGATGAATTCAAGCAGCCATCCTTATTTATATTGTTACTGCAGTGACCGTACCAGTGTCAGATGAAGATGAGGCTCACAGCTGGCCTGTAACACTGCTGTATTCTGTTACTGGGTTTGGATGAGCAGAGTGGGTAACAAATGCTGCTGCTCAGCAGTGTTGGGCCACAGCTGTTCTCCTTGGAGTCTCTGTGGTACCAGGTTTCATTTTATAGATCTTCAGTTACATTTTTCAGTATTTGGACAGGATCTGTTCTGATCGACTGCACCGAACCACAAGCAGAAGAGCTGCCACTATGCTAAGCACAGCGTAAGTGCCACAGCTTGCCTTTTATTTCTGCCACCTCCTTTCTCATCATTTTCATGCTGTTTATGCTTACTTGTTCAAGCTGTTGCTTCTTCCTGTGCCTACATCCTCTTCTGGCTCTGTCCAGGCACTGTTTCTATTTAACAGGAGCTCCTGCATGAAAGCTTTTCTTTAGCTTTGTAAACCCAAAAGGGAGCTGTTAAAGGTGAAAAATCTGAAGAGGTGCAAATGAGCAGTTGTGTCCATGCATCACTTTAAGAGCAGCTTTAATAAAATCTGGAGTCAGTCAGTCAGTAAAACAAAGACCTTACACCACGGAAGGTTTTTGGTAGCTGATTAAGCCAAAGTGCTGTTTAGCTTCAAGGAGCATCCTTCCCTTACGAATATACTTCAAGACCTGATATCTAAAAATACACAACATTACATGATCTTTGCCCTTTCACCATCATCTCCCACCTGAGACAGTCTGAATGAAAAGGGGAAAATAATCTCAAGACTGCAGTCCCCAAGAAGAAGTGTATATTACAGTAGTTTCTTGGAGAATACAGGACTCAGGCAGAAAAAAATATATTACATAAAATATTTGCACATATTGTTTTGCATTTTGAAGATAGAACATCCCATAGTGGAAAAAAGGCAAACTGTACATTTCCTCCTTAGCTACGCAGGGTAGCCAACCGTGACTGCATTGCTTCAATGTCTTCCTCCTCGTCAACAGCAGCAGCTGCTCCCATGGGTTCTGGCTCTGGAAGAGCATCTGTGACTTTACTAGGTGCTTTACCCAAGGCTCCTGTGAACAACATAAAGAGAGCCCTTAGTGAGCATTAAGTTGTAATTTAATAATCAGCAGCTTTTAGGTACAGGTGTTTCAATAATGCTGCCAGCCACTGTTAAGTAACACCCAACAGCTGTCTGACTTTACAGGCCCTCATGGCTGGGGCAGTTGGACTCATTGGGCTCCTGGTGGCCCACAGAGACTCACCAGCTGTAATTTCAAACAGAATTTTATCAATTTCCATCTCTGCTTCCTCCTCCATTTCGTCCTCATCCTCCATGCTTTCAAAGGTGTCCTCTAGCATCTCCTCTATGATACCAGCCTAACAGAAACAAGAAGACAGCAGGTGATACCTTTAGAAACTGGAGAGCAGTCATTTCCCAGTCTGAGTATTCCAGTCTGATGCCCATCCAGGACATCCAACCACTGCTCAAGCATTTCTGAATAAGACTGGCTGCTTGTATGAGGGTTGGCCAACATACCCACACACATTCTGAGCCTATATCTGTACAACTGGTGCACAGGAAAGGTAGTAAGAAACGAGGATTAAAGATGCATGTTCTCACATTCACAGCCTGCAGCTGTTATTCATTTCTGTTGTATGCTGAAACATCTACAACCCAGGTTAATGCAAGTTTGCATCACAGAGGCATCTGTACTTCACATGCTTCAGTCATAAAGCCTAAGCTATATAACAGGCTGTAAAACTCGTGTCTGACATAAGCTTTCCTTCTTTCCCATCTGCATTTAAAAATACTTTCCTACAGGGCCTGCAAGCACCACATGGCCAAAGCATTCTGGTGTATAATGGTAAAATTGTTCAGAAGTTGCACAGTGTTTCAGCTCACCGGACAACCACCCCCCTGTTCACCAACGCCTGATGTGTGTTACAGATCTTACCTTCATCATCTCTTTGGACAATTCTCTCATGGTCGCCTGGATTTCAGGGATTTTCACTAAACTCTGCATAGCTTTCATGACTTCTGTGCTCTTCTGCAATGAACCTGCTACTCTGAGGACAGCTGTGAAGGAGAGGCATAGAATAACTTGAATGATCCCTGTGTCAGCAGAAGGAAGGAAATTATATCCTCCCTATGCACATAAATACCTGCATTTAGGCAATTTAAAAGAAACATACAGCCTGCAATACAAACTCCAGACTGAATTCTACATTCTTTCTCATTGCTTGGTCAACACATCAGAACATCCATAGTATGATGAAGATGCTGGTAGCAGGAACATGGAGGCTGCTCTGCATTTTTCCTTTTAAAGGAAATCCCAATCTGCAGGAATGGCCCCAACCTCTCTGCTGAATGAGGTATGTGGGGAGTCACGTTTGACCTTTGAAATGTTAAGTTTCAGTAGCTTACTAACCTGGAGTTTGGGTGCTTGCCTCCTTGTTGCCAGTTCACTGCAATGTCAAATCACATAGATGCAATCTACTTGTGGATCTCAGTCCTCATCAACCCCACAGAGGAAGACTAGGACTGAGCTGTCAGTGCTGCTGATGTTCATTCAGAGCTGTGTTTATGGTGTGCTGGTACATGCACTGCTGAGAGTGAACCTACAGGGAATTAAGTGCCCACCCTGGCTGGATGTGGGGACTCAGAACTGCAGCAGCCATATCCCTCAGGGTCAGGTACAGGAGGAATTTCTCCAGGTCCTGAAACCTCCCAGAATCAGTTCCCTTAAACAAGAGGAGCCTGCTTCCAAATTCCATCTCTCTCAACTCATCCTACAGATCACCTTCTGAAAATGGAAACTCAGCCCTTGTTTCTGGAGCTGGGGGGAGTCATTACACCAGGGCTTAGAAGTTCTTACCAAGCTGGTTCTTCATCCCCATGAGAACAGAGTTCATGTGAGCTTTGGAGGCATAGAGTTTGCTTACAGCCTTCCTAGAGCGGATCAATTCCTTGGCCAGGATCACACACACATCCTTCTGCCCCTTTTTGGCAGCATCTTTTATCGACCGTTTCACCTTTTCCTCTTCTCTCTGTATATCTGAAGTTCAGAAGAAAATGCACAGCCAATAGTTACAGGCTGCTATGGATTTGGAAGAAAATAACAGTCACTTGCTGGAGTGTATTTTCAAAGAAAATAACTGTGCAGGTTCTGGGAAGGCAAACCAAAGAGAGCAAACAGCAGTGTAATAACACACAGCTCCTCTGCTTTTCAAGACATCTCCAAAAATGTCATGAACATAAGAGCAAAATAACCAGTAAGAAAAGGAGGGCACTTCCATTTTTATGTGCTCTTTAGGACACTGCGTACCCCCAGAGGCTCTACATGGGAACTGCCACACTGCACCAACACCATTCATTAATTCAGTCTGGGGGAAGTTCTGGATAAGTGAAATTCATCCTACCAGATGGGACATGGGTACATTATATCTCACTGGGAGCAAATCATTTCAGGCTATGTAGAACATTTTACTTATAAAACTTCAGAACAATGACATTTCTGTATGACATCGCAACTCAGCCCCGGGACCACGTTATTCCTCCATTCCAGATGCAATAACTACCCTGGGTTATTTGATTTCAGCCCCTTCCCCTGCCATGAGAAGGTTCTGGGGAGACTTCATTGTGGCCTTCCAGTACTTGAAAGGAACATGTAAACAGGAAGGGGAATGGCTGTTTACAAGGGTGGATAGTGATAGGACAAGGGGGAATGGTTTTAAACTGAGACAGGGGAGGTTTAGGTTGGATATGAGAAGGAAGTTTTTCACACAGAGGTGGTGAAGCACTGGAACAGGTTGCCCAAGGAGGCTGTGGATGCCCCATCCCTGGAGGCATTGAAGGCCAGGCTGGATGTGGCTCTGGGCAGCCTGGTCTGCTGGTTGGCGACTCTGCACATAGCAGGGGGTTGGAACTGGATGATCATTGTGGTCCTTTTCAACTCAGGCCGTTCTGTGATTCTATGACAAGGAAGGCAGGGACACGCAAAAGAAAAGCCAGAAGGACACACCTCTGATCTGTCTGTCAATGACTCTCATTTCCTTCCTTATCTTCAGGGACCATTCGTTCACCTCAAAATGAGAAAGCGCGAGAGTTACCTGGAGCCCAGCGGCAGCAAGGACGCCATCCTCGCACCAAACCGCAGCGCCCCATCGCAGCCACCACCGCTGACCGCAGCCCCCCTCGCACGGCGCTCAGCGCCCGGCGCTCCGCCCCCGCTCCACACAGCGGCACGGCGGGGCGACAAGCGCTCAGGAAGCGCCGCCGCCCGCGAGGCCGAAGAGCCGAGTCGCAGCGCCGGGGCTCGGCGCCGGACCTCCCGCTGCCACGGCAACGGCCCGCACCCCGCTCCCCGCCTCCCGAATCGACCCCGCCGGGCCCTCACCAGCTCCTTGGGCGGCTTCTCGGGGGTCTTGCCGAAGAGTCCCATGGCGGAACCGGCCCGCCCGGCGCCGCCTTCCCCGCCCCGCCCGCTGACGGGGCCTTGCGGCGCACGGCCCTCTGCGCATGCGCCGATGGCCACCGCCCGGCCTCTTTGCGCATGCGCGCGCCTCCGCCCTGAGCGCCGCCGTGTGGGTGGGGCGTAATACGATTGGCCACGCCCCGCATAAGCCCCGCCCCTCGTGGCGCAGGCCCCGCCCCGTGCCTCTCCTGTGGCACCAGAGGCACCGCCGCTGCCTAAAGGTTGCAGAAGCTCCGAAGACAGAAGTGCTGTTAACTTCATCTCACCGTGATGACTCACAATTATACTTACCCTTGGCGACCCTGCACACAGCAGGTGGTTGAAACTAGATATTCACTGCGGTCCTTTTCAACCCAGGCCATTCCATGGTTCTATGATTCCGTGATTGTTTTCCAGTTCCCACAGAAAGCCATTTCAATCGCGGTCACAGAAGCGGACGGTTCACCTTTGTCTTTTTTTCCCTCATCCAAAACCTAGAGCAGAATGAAAGCAGATCTGAGGACGCTTTGGAAAGGAGAGCTTCTCCTCTGGGAACAGAGCAGGAAAAGCAGCTGCGACTGAAAGTGTGCTCAGCAGCCCCGTGCCTGAGGGCAGCGTAGCAGTGCTGGCACCAGGCAGCCAGCGGGCCGTGCACACTCACAGTGCCACTGCCAGCCTTGCTCTGGGCCTGGCCTTTTCTCTGCTCCCCACTTTTACTGTTTGGGGGAAGGCTGAGATCCTGTGCTCACAGTAAGCTCCCGCTGGATGCCTCTGCAGACAGGACACGAGCGTTTCCTAATATAAAGACACAATGCTGCTTTCTCTGTCCTGCAGGGACCACCAGGACAGCTGCTGTGGATTTGGAAGCAGATGCATCCAGCAGGTTCTGGATCACAGCAATTAATGTAACGCGGGTTCACAGGCACAGGGGGACAAACCCTTCAGTCATTCCCATCCGCTGGCCGTAATTATCTGCACATATGGAAGTGCCCTCTGTGGCTCTTCTGCTAATTAAGCAGCACTTTCTGTCATTTATCAGAAGAATTGGATCAGGAGAGCAAGCGAGGTCATTAAAAGTCTTCAGCTGGAACAGGTGTGCACAGCAGCTCACAAATACAGACGACCCAGCACCCAGCAGCGCTGCCTGGCAGGGGCTGTGTGCTGGGGTTGGCTTTCCAGCAGCACGCGGTGCCCCGAGGACACGGCGCCGTACCAACGTGCCCTCGTGGTGCTCAGCAAACCACCCAAGTGCTGTGCAGCAATACAGGCAGGCTGGGAGCTGCTTACAGTAAGCACACGGCTCAGTGTGATGGTGCTTCGTGCACTGCAAGCTGACACGCTCTGTGCCCTCATTGTGCCTTTCCACCGCTCTGCCTCAGTAACAAGGGATGAAGGACATGAACTGACAGCCCTCTGCTGGAATAAAAACACTTTCTGCAGTACAACAGGGCTGGTGATACTCCTTCTACCTCATGACTTCAACGCTGCGATAGGGTATGAGAAAAGAAGCACTCGCTGTTCAAAACAGCTCGTCTGATTATTAGGAGTGTCCTCCTGTGATGACACCTGCTGATGGGAGGTGTGAAACATTTGGTGATAAAGCAAACGTGTCCAGGTCCCCTGCATGGATAAAACAGTGCCAAACGGCTTTGTGAGCACTCACGTCCCAAATGTCTCTAGAGGCACAGTAAAGAGATGGATCAGAACTGCAAGTGGGACCTGCGTTTATGCTTTCTACTGTCTTCGTTAATTGTCCTCCTTTTGTACCACATGGGCAAGAACTGGGGAAGAGATAAAGAAAAACTTCCTCATTGAATTTGCAGTCAGATGATTCCTGAAAGGCATGACCAAAGGCACAATTTCTTACTGAAATACAAAGAAACCAGACCCCATTTCTCCCCCATGGCATCAAACCATGACATAAAACAGCCGTCGCTCTTCTCCAGGCAATCAGAAATCACTGCAGAACACCTACCTGGAATCTGGAATGTTCTACCTTAACAGGGTGCTCAAGTCACTCCATGGCATTCTGCTGCTTCATGATGGTTTGCTTTGAGACTGGAGACCATGAAGCCTTCCTAGAAGACTGCAGATGAGATACTGGAGAGACATCTGGTAAGGAAGAGGGTCTGAGAAAGCAATCTGCGATCAATTAGGAAACCCCTGATCAAGCAGAGAACCTCAGTGAGACACCACTGCCTTCTGCTTGGCCGGTGGTTCATTGAATCACAGAGTCCTTCGAGTTGGAAGGGATCTCTGAAGGCCATCTATTCCAACTCCCCTGCAATGCACAGGGACACCACAGTTACCTTCACAGTACAGAAACGAATTCCAGCATCCCTAGAGATTATTTATTAGTCACAAAAGTTGTGTTATATTTTTATTGTCTTTACAGATAAATCAGACCAGCAAGACATCTGTAACTATACACACAAAATATTTATCAAAACAATTAACATTACAAATCTCCTTTTAAAATAATTTATTTCACGTATCTCTTTTTAAACGGTACTGTCTTACAACGTACATTATTCAACAAGGATGTGCTGAACAGACTCTAAAATAAGAAACACTTAAATTAAGCAATCATCTCCGGTTAGAATTTAGATTCCCCCCATATCCTCACTTGTAAACGTTTGCTGGGATACGCTTCTGGTGGAGGTTTGATTTTGTGCTTACGAAAACAGCATTGAGTTTCAGGATGATGAAAAGAAAGAAGTTATTGTACGGTAAGAATGCATTCAGTTCAACACACAAGGCAACCAAATAACTCTGCCATTAACGTTAGCATCGTGTATATTTTAGTTCACTGCACTAACATTTAAACTAAAACTTCAAACCACGTAATCTTTTAAGTGACTAACATTTAAAAGGCAAGCAGTAATATCCTGAAAGCTGACAAAGGACACGGACACACGGCTAAGACGGGGCATCGTTGGACAAAGGCTGTGGTTGCGTGAATGGCTGCTTTTTTTTGTAAGAAGCCCACCTGCAGACGGGGCAGCAGTGCCGCCCGCCTGCCAGCCACATCACAATGCAATTCTGGTGGAACACGTGGCCGCACGGCAAGCCCATGAGCAGGCAGCCCCTCTCGAAGTTTTCGAGACACACCACGCATTCCGTACAGTGCAACATCTCAGGGGGCCACGCTGACCAATCTGGCTCGTCTGTGGTGCTGTACGACCCGTACGACCTCGCTTTCCGTTCACAAGGCTCCTTGTGACAACATGTACTGGCACACGAACAGCTGTCGGCACGGCAGTGAGGCTCTCCTGCCCTGGGCCTATGAAATGTATTTGGCTCATCTTCCTCCGAGATGTCTTTTTCACTGTTGAAGACCTCTCTGTTCTCACTGTCAGAGTCACTTTCGCTGTCTTGAAGGGTTTCCAGCATTTCCTCATCCGAATGGATGCCGAGGCATTTAAACCTCCACATTGGTAAGTTTTTGATATAATCTGTTGGTATCAGAGGGTGAAGCCAGAGATCGGGAAAGGCCAAACGCTCCAAGAACAGATCTGGGTCTTCGTCCCAATCCGAGTCAAAAGGGAAGTGTTGAAAGGAAGCAATAGGATGAAACAAGTAGCTGGTGTACCAGTCCCACAGGCTTGAGAGCCACTCTAGATTGTTAGCATTGACTTCATCATTGTTGTTATTGCGTCTTCTCTTCTTCTCAAAGTAATCAATCAGTAAACCATGGCCAAGGTATGTGCTGAGGAAGAGCGCTGGGTGTGAAGAGTAGAACATCCAGTCGGCTCTTACCCAAGAAGCCAAGGTAGTTGTGTTAGAATACCTGAAGAGTTTTAAACTGTACTCGTAAAAGCTGTCTAAGTAAGGTAGCTGCAAAAAACCCAAGACGGGTAGCCAGGAAATAATTAGTAGTGAATTATACGTCCCTAAAGTGCTTATAAGAACCACAAAACGCTTTATAGTAGCGCCTTGCGTAATGAACAGGTCCATCCAAGCCATCAGATTAACCAAAACTAAGCTTAGAACAAATAAATCATTAACTTCTGGTTGCAACGAGCGCAAAAAGGAATCCATGGCACGCAGTGATATAAATTCACCAGCATTACTTCCATACCTGTAAATACCTTCAGGAGTCCTAAGTATGTAGGATGGTGTCTTGTAGATACCAATTTCTGCCATGTAACTTTTATTGTCCCAGTTTTCCACGTTCACAAAAATAAACTCTACTCTCCCGGTAAACTTTACACTTAGTGCAGAGAAGAAGGCTGGAGGCTGGTCGAGGCTGGCAAATAAGTATATTTTCACACGGTACTGGTCACTTCTGTTCCACTCTTCTCTTAAATGTTCAGAGTTGTAAATGGTTTTGATCCGAGAAGCAGCGTGGGCTGTGATCCATTTGAAAATGTGCTCCACTTCAATTTTGCGCCCGTTGTATTCTTTAAGCATTACTTTTCCCTTGGAGGTGCTGGTTTGTGGAACTGACATAATGAGGGTGGATTTCAGCCAGCCCCTCCTCCTGCAGTATCTGCAAAGAAAATGGCAAGTTAGATTATGGAGCTATATACTCCTGCAGCTGCAGTCCTTACATCTCCTTAATGAGCCCAAAAATTAGACACAGTGAGCACCTGGAAGTTCTTACAGATAACAGCATGAAATACAGGCATCCAATCATCTCTGACAGAGAGCACTTATTCTTACAACACATCTGTTACCTCTTTTATCCATCTTTTGTCTCTTTGTTATCTTACAAGAAAGCCATAAGCAGATATGCATGTGTCAAATGCTGAAAGAGGAACAGTGTTCATTTTCATTGGTTATTATAAACAAGGCCACACATTACACAATCACACAGAATCACAGAATGGCCAGGGTTGGAAGGGACCTCAAGGATTATGAATCTCCAACCCCCCTGCCACATGCAGGGCCACCAACCTCCCCATTTAATACTGGACCATTAGAGTCTCCTTGCCTTGAAACTGGCTTTCAGAAGTACACAAGTAGACTTTTTTCTCTACACCACAGAGCTTTTGTATTAGAGCTATTTTTCATAGGCATCCTGGCCAAAAAAAATAACCATTACAATGCAAATCAATGTCCTGCAGCTTTCAGATAACTTTCCCAGTGCTTCCTTCCAACCTAGTTTTGCCAGTCAGCAGCAGGGTGAATTTAACAGGACACTGGCATGTTGACAGCTGCTTCAATGAAGTGAGAAGGGTGTACACTTCTTACTGGGGCCATATTGGAAGGCTGCAGGCAGGCCAACCGGTGTAGTGAGAGCTCACCATAAAACTAGCAGAGGCTGAGATGGGATGAACTCATGTGGATTCTATGATTCTATGACAAAACTGAGGCTAATTAGGAGCTATGAAAAGAGAAACACTGCCAAAGTTCCAAGATGCTCAGATATCAGTGCTTTTACTATATAAGACTATTTCTCTAAACACTGTAAAGTCTAAGAATCCTCCCTATCAATTAATTTTGCAATTTCTGTAAACATTTAGCATTTGAGATACATAAGATGCATGCATAATTCCCAGACCAAAATTCTAGACAAGGTTTCCTGTCATGTGAAGCAAATGCTTCCAGCAAAACGCCACAAAACGACTGCTTTTGCAGCAGCACAGGATTATTAATAGCTTCTCTGACTCTGCTTTTCTTCCTCATTTGAAATCATATGTAAACAACAGAGAATCTTGCACAGCACGCTGTCTGCTGACAAAGGGTGTGTTCATGTTTATATGGAAGCATGCATATATTTGTCAAGGAACAGGATGGCAGTAATCCTGAGAAGTAGGAACTGCTTTGAAGCTTTGTGCTCATCAGTGTTTCTCCTTTCCAGATGGCAAAAGAGCATCTCTACAAACCAGAGCTCTTATATGGGCTATATTCAGCTTCATTCTAAGCAAGCACAGTTCCTGTCCATGAATGCCCTAAGGCCAGGTTCTTTTACTCATTCTCTACCACTGCTGTATGATGCTCTACACAGTCTACTTGTGTATTTCCCCCACAATGCTTTAGGAAGCTGCAGACCTGTGTTTATAATGCTGATAAATAATGCAACAGAGAATTCTGAAGAGACTTTAGCAGAGATATAAATAAAAGCACCTTCTATCACAGCTGCTTTTACAACGCAGAAAGCCCTGCTGCCAGAATACAGCTCAGCCTTTAATATTCTGGATAATCCTTTAAGAATATACCTGGGGTCACTGGAACAGTTGAAAGTGCCAGTACGTATGCCGAATCTCGATACTTTCTTCACCATTTTCTCCCAGTGGACTTTACCCACCAGTGGACTTCTGTCGTTTGCTATGACCTATTGCCCAAAAAAGATAGTAATTCAGTATAACAGTAATTATTTCCAAAATAAAGAGCAAATTTCATGAAAAGAGAGATCTGGTCACTCTTGATATCACCTTCCCCTTCCCTTAGACAATACAATAGGAACATAGAACAGAGTTGCACTAAGTGTCTTTGGTGAGTGACACTCGAAGACAGAAATACTCTTTGTGCAGAGAAGCAGAAAAGCACACTGTCATTTTAACTTACAACATACCAAAGAAACACTGTCTCAAAGCAGGTAAAATGCATATAGGTAGAGTGTCTGTAGCTGATATCAGTTTATTCTGCCATCAACCACCTCTGAGCAGTGGAAACTAATAATTAAACTCTCAGATAATACCCAAAAATCTTCTGCTGGTGACTCAGTCCATGAGGTTACGTGACTGTTCCACCAACTCCCATGTCCCACCTGCAATTCCAAGATGGTAATTCACTGTGATAGATCCCAAGGTCTAATTTGCCATAACCTACTGCATTAAAGAAGTACTTCTGGTTACCTACATGTAAGCTTCTACAGTGTCAGCGACTAAGGATAAGGACTGATTAATAACTGTACAGGGAAGGGGAAAAAAAGGAAAACCTGCCTGCCTGCTGCTGGCAGCTAATGCTGAATGACATGCCTGATCATGTGTTATTCCATGAGCTGTCACAGTTTCTATTTTAGAAATGCCTCACATGCTTCCACAAGCTGACTGGCAACCACTTGAAACACGTTTTTAAATCAAGTTTTGAAACTTCTATTTGTTAGATATTTGTTTACCCACCATTAAACTGCTCCCAGTTGTTTCTAGGCTTCATAACCTGAAATGTCAGCTCTCCTCCCTGCGTTAGGCTGTCAGCACGATGAAGAGCTCACTGTGTACAGGCTGAGACACTGGGCTGGAAAGCATGCCTGGCCTTTGAAACTCAAAAATGTATCTGCTTTGTGCTAAATAGCATCCACTCAGAAACTGAAAATAAATGGATTCACTGCACAGGATGTCCTATATAGAGACACGAAGCTAAACTGAAGCTACAGAGTGCACTGCTCAATGCGTTTAAATAAAATCACAGTTGAAGATTGAGATGGGAATCCTTCCAGCTCTTCTCAGAACACACACATCACGTAGCTTGCCTGCCCATGGGCTGGCTAAGTGTAACCTTCAGGCACCCAGACAACCAGCTGGGGACACTGCTGTGTTACTGAGGCTTCTTCACATCACCTGCTGGGTATTTTCAATTTCTTTCTTCTGTATACTTCAAGCCAAAGAGACCACATTCCTCAAGACAACTTAAGACATTTGTATCAATAAACCCCCAAAGCTATACAGCACAATAAAGGCACCTGGCATAGTGAGGAGTCATTACATTTTGTTAAGAAGTACTGAAATAAAACGTTGGAAAGTATATTACTCTTTGGGTCAACTGCTAAGAGATCCTTATCACTACACTACACTACAGTACCCACTGCCCAGAGAATGCAAGGTGCTGCAGACAGGTCACCAGTATGTTTCACTGTGTTTATCACGCTGGCTGTTGGTACTGCCTGATTTTCAGGCTAGGTTAATAGTAGATTCCCTGTTCATTGCAGGGGACTATATAGCATTCAGAGGTCCCTTCCATCTCTAAGGATTCTGTGATTGTGTGATTCTAATTCCCATCCTATCAAAGTCTGTGCTCGGAGAAAGCTACTTTGGAAGACAAGGGTAGAGTTGGCAATTTTTGTTTCATAACCAAATAGAGGGAACTTTCCTATGGTCTTGCACACGCTGCAAAATGCTCTGAGCTCATGCTTTTTTTTATGTCAGCATTACCAAAAAACAACACAACCAAAGATGACTGCTGAGCTATTCCCTGTAGGCAACACCCACTGACAGCACTGGGAGTTCACTGCACAGAGGCACTTTGGAAAGCAATCATAGAATCACAAAGGTTGAAAGAGCTTGCAGAGAGTGATGAGGTCTCCCCTCAGCCTCCTCTTCTCCACACTGAACAATCCCAGCTCCCTCAGCTGCTCCCCATAAAATCTGTGCTCCAGATCCCTCACAGCTCCACTGCCCTCTGGACACACGCCAAGGCCTCCACATCCTTTTTGCAGAGAAGGGCCCAACACTGAACACAGTACTCCATCATCTCTGTGGAAGAGGGTGTCAACCACAGGGTAAGCAACCACAATGTAATCCAGTCTAAAGATAACTTGCAAACACTTCTAACAGATCTTATTTAAGAAGTGTGAATTTTCATCAGATAAGACAGTTAGCTGATAAGAACTGTGGCTGAGGAGAGCAGGTAAGTGAATGCACAAGAGGTCTGCAAGTTCTTCGAGACATCAAAGAAATTCAAATTTTATATTTAAAGCAAGGGGGAAAAGTTGTCTCAAAAATGAACGTAGTGCTCTGCCTCTGTTATCGGATGAAGAGAAGATGGCTGGCTGGGGACAGGCTAGCATGTTTATGGCACCTGAAGATGGAAACAAAACTCAAATAATATCATGCAATCATCAGACTAAGCAGAACTGTAATACAATGAGCACACAGAATTACAGATCCACCTGCAAACATTTCCTATAAAACCACCGTCACTGTGATTTGCACTCTGATGGGAAGTTAGTTACTATTTTTAGGAGCAAATGAAAAAATTATCCTACTACTTTGATCTCAACAAATTACAGAGCAAATTTTAAAGGAACAGAGATGACTGAATTTCCCATCCTTCAGCATGGAATCATAGAATTGCTCTATTCTAGGTTGGAATTACTGAAGTTGTATCATTCCTGCTTAAGATGAGAGTTTAAAAAAACCAATCCTCTCCTGGAGAAAATGAACTGGATTTCAAGACAAAGGAAAGGTAGTCATCTTTTCACACTTTGGTAGAGCGTTAGTACTGTGCTGCATGGGAAGCTTGCAGGTGAAATGGAGATCAATTTTTGTAATGAGTAAAAAAATAAAATAATCAGAAAGTAAATCAGAAATTGGCTGAGGCAAGAAAATACCAAAATGCCAGAAAGGTATTAACAGAGTTCTTAATGGATTTCTCTCAGAGATCAGGTCAGCATATGTTCCTTTTACTGCCCTTCCTGCAGAAAGCCCAAAGCCATTCACAGCTGACACACAGCTTGGGAGCACAGAAAAAAGAGGATTGTATTGCCATACAGGAAGAGCTGCACAAACCTCATAAAGCAGAGTGTCAGGAATGAAATTGAAATCAATAGCAAACAGGACACTGGGAGTTCATCAGGTAGAAAGCACAACGGGATGCAAAGCGTGGGGCTACCAGCTGATCCAGCAGGGCTGTATGGCATCAATAGTAACTGGCTGTGAGATAAGCAAGCACTAGGAAATATCACACTTGGCAAAAACAAACTGCTTGACTGATTCCATGCACTGGGAGTAGCAAGGTAGGCATTTGGAGTCACTGGAATTGAAGGGCAATGTCAATTCAAGCACAATCAGAACAAATTAGCCATGAATACCCTTAGGCCTAAAGTCAAGGCACATTTCCAAGATGAATGGAACAGTCAACAGGAGTACCACACACAGACAACCTATTTTAAAGAGAGAGCAAGGTATTTTATAAACACGTACTCCACAGCCTAGCAGAGGTGAACTCACTAATCAAGAAGGTCCCTTTTGGCCATCTGTTCCACTCCAACTGGAGAAATCAAGAGAAAGCTCATAGGAAAAAAAAAAAACAGGTATATTTTATGAGATCAGCCAGCACTGCTGGGAAACATCTATGACATTTACAGGAATACAAGCCCTTCAAGCTCTTCTTGTTATTAGCTGCGTTCACGTTCTGCAAAATATCACCTGTCAGAGTGACAAATAATACAAAGAAGATAATCCAATTAATCCATTAATCATCTTAATGGGCTAAGAGAATCCAACAGGATCAAAGTTACCCTGCCATTTGACAATCCTACGGCATGGAATACATCTGCTACCTACTGTACACCTCCCCCAGGCCAGAGGACTGGATTTGAACTACTGTTCTTCCTCTTCATGTCAGTGTCAATTTGCATGAGTGGAACAATCAGTGTGGCAGAAGAAACTGGAGAGAAGGTTCGGCCCTCATTGGACTCTGTCTATCTACAAGCTTTCTCTGGAGTCTCAGACATGAGTTTTTTCAAACACACCAAAAGGTCAGGAGACTCCCAATAAACTATTGTGAAATACTGCAGATAAGTTATGCTACCAAGATGTGCAAAGCAAAGATGGAAAGACTGCACCTTGGAGAGCTCCTCAATTTCTATGTCTTGTGACTGAGTTTTCTTTTCCACTTTCCACTATATAACCCTATACCTCAAAAGATGGATTTCAGATACCACATGAAAACAAACAAAACAAAAAGCATAGAGTTACAGAGTCACAGAATCACCAAGGTTGGAAAAGACCTCCAAGATCACCCAGTCCAACTGCACACCTATCACTGATATTTTCCACTAAGCCAAGACCCTCAGAACAGCATCTAAACATTTCTTGCACACCTCCACATCCAGCCTGGCCTTCAATGCCTCCAGGAATGGGGCATCCACAACCTCCTTGGGCAACCTGTTCCAGTGTGTCACCACCTCTGTGTGAAAAACTTCCTCCTAATATCTAACCTAAACCTCCCCTGTCTCAGTTTAAAACCATTCCCTCTTGTCCTATCACTGTCTACTCTCGTAAACAGTCATTTGCTTAATTCAATTTGCTTAATCCAAAAGGAAAGCCCTTCAGGTAGATGCATGGACACCACAGTGACCACTTCATAACTTTCACTGATGCAGCTGCACCGTAACTTCCCGGCCATTGTTAACGATTTTTCTAAATTATTCTATGAAACTTTAAGAAGATAAGTACCAGGAAAAGTCGTAATGGCTATTGAAGAGACTCAAGGAAACATTTGCTGTAGCAATATGCAGAGATTGTTCTGGTAGCCCAGCAGCATTTGAGCACAACATGACAGACGCTTCATTTGAGCACTCTCCTATTTTCTGTTCATTCAAATCAGATA